AAAGTTAAATTTAGAAACAAATTTTTTGAGGAAATAAAAAAAAGTCTGGGCACAGTTGGGGGCAGTTTTAATGTATAGAAATAGAAAAAAAGAGAGAATAATTACTAAAACACAAATACTATTAAATTTGTATTAAACTGACTGTCATTTAGTCAATGCAATTCCCCAAGGGGAGGGGAGGCCTGAGAAAATTTTTACGGGAAAATTTGGGGAATCCAAAAAAATTTATTTATTTTTGTGAACATATAAATAACGTGAAACGTGAAAATAAAAGTTGCTTTCTAAATGGTTAGAGAAATTTTTGGTGTCATTTTAATATAAGGGAAGGGATACCTATCTTTATTAGGGATGTTAAATCTCTTCGGCTACTACCTTCCCTCCAGGGGTCGATCGGAGATGACGAAGGTGACAGAAATCGGAACTGTCGGAAATCGGAAAGCTCAAAAGTTGGAAATCGAAATTCCGATCGACCCAATCTTCCCTCTTCTGCTTTATAAAAAGTGGCAAAGATCATCTTTGGTAGGTATTAAATTAAAAATAGATATTTTTACTTTATTTTAGTGTTAAACAAATGGATTTTCCGGTACCGGTGGTACTGAAAAGTGCCGAAAATCGCAAAATCTTACCGGTACTGTATCAGTACCAGTCCGGCACTGACGGTAGTAACGAATCGTTCCCAACACTACTGTCTTATTTTTCAAAATAATTTTTGAAAATTATTTTTACATAAATTAATTTAAATTTTTAATTGATTGCTTCAATTTAAAATAATAATTAAATATTAAAAAATAAGCTAAAAAATATCCCGTTCAAAAGTCTTCTTTTTTCACAATTTTTGTTCAAATTAATGAGGATTTAGCTTTTAAAAATATTTTTAGAAAATATAAAATTACTTTCTTTCCTTTAAATTAAATTACTCAAAATTAAAAATGTTTTTTTTGGTTTAAATTATGGGAAAAACTATTTTTAATTTTTAAAAAAGAAAAAGAAATAATTAAATAAAAATAAAATAAAAATTAATTTATAAAATTAATAAAATGATTAATTATTTTCAATGCAAAAATGGACATAAAAAAAGTAGAAAGGAAATTGTTTTGGGAATAATATACACTAAAGCTTTAACGGAAATTAATTAATTGAGAGAAAAAAATTGAAAAAAATTTTTGTGAGTGTGTGGGTGTTGGTTGACTAAAGAATACTAGAAATTAAATATTTTTTTAACAAAAAAAATTTTTTTGAATAAATTTTTTGGAAAGAAAAGATTTTTTATTTAAATAATTTCGTGTTTAAGTTGAACAAATGCTGAGACAATAATTAAAATATAAAGTAGGTAGGTAAGCGAGGGGTTTTTTAAATAAAAGAAAATTTTTTTTAAAAATGAATAGACATTTAATTTGATAAAAAATAATTTTTTTTTAATAAATTAAATACAAAATGGTAACTAAATTTTTTTTGGAATTTTCTATACGGGTAAACTCCAACGTACCGCGAGCCCAACGTACCGCAAAGCTATAACTTTGATCAAAATGGTCGAATCCGGGACGCCTTGGTATGTTTCGATGCATCTCGACGAGCTGAATCGAACCATACTAGGTCGTCCCGGATTCGACAATTCTGAACGAAGATATAGCTCTGCGGTAAGTTGGGGTGTACCCCTAAAAATTAAAAATATTTTTTTTAAATTTAAGTAGAGAAAATAAAAAATAAATTTACAAAAAATATACATATTTTTCCCCTTAAATTTATTTATTTTAACCTTTGTACAAAATAAATATTTTTTTTATTAAAACTTTCCATTTATATATTCTTTTAAGTATTTGTGTGTATAAAATAAAAATAATACATTAAAAAACGAATAAAGATTTATTAGAAAAGGAAATATAAAAAATTCTTTTTGTAAAAGCTTTAAGTATTTGTTAAAGGTAATAAATAAATATAGAAAAAAATAATTAAAAAAATATTTAAAAAAATATCTAGGGTGGTTATTGAGGTTGAGAAGTTGGTGGAGATATTTGTTATATTAAATTTAAAAATAAAAAAAAATTAAATACCTAAATTGATCAAAAAATTAAGAGAAAATAAAAAATAAACTAAAGAATAGAAAAGTTATTTAACATTTAGAGTATATCCGTTTAAAAAAATATTAGAAGACAAGCTATAATTTAATAAAAATTCTTAAAATTAAAAAAAAAGAAATATAAGTAAATAACCTTTATTTATTATCTAGTAGACTTCAAGCTGGGCCTGGACCAAGGCTTGGGTTTTTACTGTACCCAGTGTCAAGGTCCAGTCATTTTTTGACCTTTCTGGGTTTTTCCTGGACGACAGGCCCAGGATCTGCCCCAGGTCAATAATGAAACTCAAGAGTCCAGAAACAGGTACAAGCTTTTCAAAAATCTCAATCTTTAATATCTACCTTTGGGTTAAAATTTAGGTAGGGATTTTGTCGGGGCTGAAATGTTGGATTGATGAACGAATAAATATTAAAATATATTTCCAAATATTTCCACAATTATTTAGTAAAAATAAAAATTATTCAAACAATTAAACAGAAATAACTATACACATTTTAAATATAATTTAATAAATAAATAAATAATAATATTAACATATTTATTTTTAAATATACCAAAAAAAGAATTACTAAATTAATATATTTTGCATAAAATATATTTATTTTATTAATTCAAATTTCGGAGAAAATAAATATTTAGTCATTTAAACCTAGCCTTTTTTAGACACTATATGAGTCCCATAATATATGAGTCCCACTCATTATAAGTCCCATAATCAAAAAACCCCTTTTTTGGAGCGTATTGTCTAATTTTTGGTTCAGTTAGCTGAAATTTCAAAAATTTTAGGTTTTTGAATGTCCCAACGATAAACACACTCAAAGTCTGAAAAACAAATATTTCAACATTTTATAAAAAATATTAGGTATTGCAAGAAATATATACATACATATATTATTATAAGATAATTGAACAATACAGCATTTGTGAAAGACACAACACAAATATAGTTGGTGATTATAATTAAGTATTACAGAAAATAGGGTAATACATATATTTAGAATAGAATATCCAACAATAGATTTGTGGAAAAGACAATCAACACAAGGGAAGGAAATGCCTATAATATGTACACAACTCACAAACACCTAAACAAAAACAGCATATCACTTTATTTCGCCTTCTTCTTATCCATTTTATTAGCAGCAGCCCTCTTCTCTTCACGTTTTCGATTCATTAACAAATCATACTCCTTATTGAAGGCCTTCACCTCCTCCTTATCGCTTTTATCAATCAGTCCCTTCCAAATAGCTGCATCGACAATTGCCTTGTGAACGAAGAGATACTGAAAAAAGATTATCTTTATTTTTGATTTTTAAAAAAAATTCACTTGCAGGTCCGTTTGAACAGCCATGGCTCGCTGCTCTCTCAAACGTAAGAAAATAGTTCCGATTTTGACATGGTGGTTGAAACTGATTAAATGCTTATATGCCAATTCAATACAAGCAAAAGCCCCACTTCGGCCTATAAACTGAAGATTTTAAAATTGCTACAAATACAAAATTAAAACTAACCAATCCCAGCGTTACAATGCACGACGACTGAGCATTTATATTCAATAGCCAGTCGATGTACACAACTTCTAAATACACAAAATAATGTTGGAAAAGTAGGACCTTCGCTCTCTGGCCAACCTGTATAGAGCAGATGAATTACCTTAAAAATAAGAGGGTTTATTTTTAAATGTGATGCCCTAATCCTAATTTTTATTGGCATTTAAAAATAAACCCTCTTAGTTTTAAGGTAATTCATCTGCTCTATTTTAAGGCAATTAATTCATCTACCAATAAAAATTAGGATTAGGGCATCACATTTAAAAATAAACCCTCTTATTTTTAAGGTAATTCATCTGCTCTATACAGGTTGGCCAGAGAGCGAAGGTCCTACTTTTCCAACATTATTTTGTGTATTTAGAAGTTGTGTACATCGACTGGCTATTGAATATAAATGCTCAGTCGTCGTGCATTGTAACGCTGGGATTGGTTAGTTTTGATTTTGTATTTGTAGCAATTTTAAAATCTTCAGTTTATAGGCCGAAGTGGGGCTTTTGCTTGTATTGAATTGGCATATAAGCATTTAATCAGTTTCAACCACCATGTCAAAATCGGAACTATTTTCTTACGTTTGAGAGAGCAGCGAGCCATGGCTGTTCAAACGGACCTGCAAGTGAATTTTTTTTAAAAATCAAAAATAAAGATAATCTTTTTTCAGTATCTCTTCGTTCACAAGGCAATTGTCGATGCAGCTATTTGGAAGGGACTGATTGATAAAAGCGATAAGGAGGAGGTGAAGGCCTTCAATAAGGAGTATGATTTGTTAATGAATCGAAAACGTGAAGAGAAGAGGGCTGCTGCTAATAAAATGGATAAGAAGAAGGCGAAATAAAGTGATATGCTGTTTTTGTTTAGGTGTTTGTGAGTTGTGTACATATTATAGGCATTTCCTTCCCTTGTGTTGATTGTCTTTTCCACAAATCTATTGTTGGATATTCTATTCTAAATATATGTATTACCCTATTTTCTGTAATACTTAATTATAATCACCAACTATATTTGTGTTGTGTCTTTCACAAATGCTGTATTGTTCAATTATCTTATAATAATATATGTATGTATATATTTCTTGCAATACCTAATATTTTTTATATAAAATACTGAAAGATTTGTTTTTCTAACTTGAAGTACTATATTATCGGGGAGACATCCAGAAACCTCAAATTCCGGAAATTTCAGCTAACTGAACCAAAAATTAGACCATACGCTCCAAACTTGTGTTCTTTCACAATGTTGTATTGTTACCCCTTATATCCCCAGATTTTGTAAAATCGCCTGTTTTTTTTGACTTGCGGATTGCGTTTGCGGAAATTTTCTACAATTGCATGCATCCCTGCATCAAAGGCTCGTTTAATGGTTCTTAGAGCTTTGAGTATTAAAACTGCCTATCAAGACCCTTCCTCAGGTATACTTTATATTTATAAAATGGAATCCATGGAATGTCTTTTTTTAAATTTCTCACCTCCATTCTTTCCAGATAATTCCAAAACGTTTTTTTAACTTCAGTATTTGATGTCAAAGCATTCATCCGTCCTTTTACTTTAATTGTTCCATATTCCATTTTTTCTTTTCCAATATATTTGATTTCTTCTTCATTAAGTTGAACGATAATCTAAATAAAAATTATTTGTTTCGTTACAAACGTAGATATTAGTCATTTACCTTAGATTTAGTCTCAAAGACCATTGTCCAGAACTGATAACAACTCTGATAATTATGAAGACAGTGTGTCAAGATCAACGGATAATCAGCTCCTTGAACATAGGACGCGTGTATGAAATCATGTCCTAAAAATTCATATTTTTCTTTGTTAGAAAATAGATTTATTCTACTTGCCTTTATATCCATTCTTCAATATGACACGCGGCTGATCAGCCAACGGCACATTGGAATAACGTATAAACTCCTCATTTGCAGGATTGTTAAATGCTGTTGTTGTAGAGTTCAGAGAGTACGGATTCAATTGATTAACAAACTGTTGACGAATAAACGTTATTCCATCTGCACGACAGGAATCTGAAAGTTAACAAAACTTATTTTTTGCTTTGCTTAATAGTAGAACGTGACCGTAATCGGTCGTAAAATTTCCGGTGTCAAAGTTTAAAAACCTTTCAAAATTTTCATTTAGGACAGTTTTTTAAGATAAATTGGTCACCATTATGGTAAGTTCCATATCTCTGACTTACCTAAGAACCAGCGTTTCACAGCATACTCATCATCCTTTTGTTTTTTCACATCTTTTGGTTGAGCAAGGATCCGGCCTGGGACGTAATAAAGACGTTCAATAAAATTTTGATCAGTCTGTTCTGGAGTCGACTGTTTCTAAAAATAAATAAATTTTTGTTAACTAGCGGAGGGGCTTGCCCCATGAAAAACAAAAAAAAAGAATACAAAACAAATTTGAAAAATACACGTTACTTTCTTGCTTTCTCAGAATACACACTATTTATGGGACATTCTGTCATTTTTATTAAAAAATAAACACAACGCCAAACACAACAACAAAAACTCGCAAAATTCAAAGCTGTGGACAAACAAATCATTCTAAAATTTAAGGCATATCCGTTGATTGCCTGAGACATGGGTGAGTATTATGTGTTAATGAATTTTCCCAGCCATTTTACATACCTTGTTATTTATCGCTATTTCCTGTGAATAGCGAAAATTTTATCGATAAAGTTTTATTAAAATAACCGATTAATAAATGACAATTCAAATCTTTAATTGGATTCAGACACCGAAACGGTTAGTTTTCTCAAATATTTTCCTCATTAACAAGTTTATTAGTTAGTTTTAATCTTCACTAGTAGATCTAATCTTCACTAATCTTCACTTTTAATATTTCAAAGGGCAGTGTGATTTTATATGTAACAGGGAAAGAGCGTCCTGAATCCTGAAAATTTCCGAACTCGGGAATTTTATTTTTATATCGGTTCGCTACCTGGTTTAAAAATCCGTTGTTTTGATACATAATACATATAAGTAGATGACCACCGATTTAAAATAATTTAATAGTAAAAAATATAATTTATTTTTTTAAATATGTAAATCAATATAAAATATAAATTTATTTTTTTATCACATTTAATGATTTTTTTCTTCAAATTCCACCAAAAAAGGAAAAAGTTTATATTTAATGATGCATTTAACAAATATAAATATACATATTTTTGGCACTTTTCCTTTGGGATTTAATAAAAAGTCAAAAATTCTATTTCCGTCTTATTTAATTTTTAATACCAAAGTTCTGGGTACATAAAAAGAAAACTAAAAAAATTAATGAATTAATTTTAAATTAAAATAATTTACAGATTCAAAGCAAGTATTGAAAGATAAAACCAAAGACTACAATATTCCAATCTGTTAATTACTCGTTCCCAATAAATTGGTAAATGACCTTTAGTTTTTAATTCTCGACGAATCTTTTAAAATTTTGAAATTAAAAAAATAATTTTATTTAATTAATTACCTCTAATAATTCTCTTAAAAGTGAAATAAGTAAATCTAATTTACAATCCAGCCTTTGATTTTCTAATAATGTACCTAGAAAATTTAAATATAAATCTTTTTCGATTTTTTTTGAAAGGGGTTTTCCTCAAGTAATAATAGGGATAAATCAGAAATAAGGAACTAAGTAGATAAAAATAAGTGAGAAAGGGATTACAAGTAGAGGAGGAGGTTGGAATTTTGAAATACGTACTTTCGTACACAGGTACGTGTACGAACTTCCACCCACTAGTGATAGGCGTATGCCGAAACACAATTAAATATTTAAAATATGCAAGAAACGAATGCGCAAAAAACGTGTTATTAAGCTAAACGAGCACATCCCTAGTTACTGGGTATAATTTTATTCTAGTTTTGATTGAACAAAGATAAGGAAAAAATGAATAAAGATAAACCTCAAGATTATTTAAATTAAATTAGATAGAAATTTCAATTAAAAATAAATTTTTTAAAGAATATTTCAATTAAAAATACACCTCATTGTATGATATATGTAATTTTTTATGAATCAAGGTCCTATGTAAGGTTCAAGTAAGGTTCTGTGCTATGTAAGGTTCTGTGTCAAGACTTGAAATAACGATCACCCCCCCCCCACCCTCCCTCCACAATTTTTAATGAACAAAATATTAAATTACAATTACTAGATCCTCCTTCATTAATTCCACCACTTACTCCCCCACTACCCAATAACAATAAAGGTGCTGTAGATGTAGAACTAACAATCATTGGATCTATAGAATTTTCTCCTAAATTAGTTGTTGATTGTTGTTGTTTAGCTTCTCTTTTTTGAAATTCAGTAAAATTTAACTTTAAAAATTATTATAATTCTTTAATTAACAAAATTACTTCATTTGGGGCCATTGTACTAAATTCCATTGAAGTTGATTGAAAATGATTACAACGGATATTCTTTATAGAAAAATAATATTTCGTTAAATTAAATTTCAAATATTCACCTTATTTCTTTTAATTCTTTCACCTTTATTTAGTCTAACTTTTCGAGGTACATAACAACAAAATAATTTTTCTGCCGATAAAAATCGTAGAAAGTTGGGAATGGACTAAAAAATAAAAAAAAATTCTGCATAATTTCTAGAAAAATCATTTCCCGTTAAATATTAACTAGTGGAATATTTTTCTAGTTTCCTTCTAGAAGCTGGAAAAACATCCCTTATAATAAAGGGAGCCCTAAATAGAGAGTAATGGTTAGGCAATCGCCCCCACTCTGTGACCAACAAAAGTATCCTAAACTGATGTTAATTAATTTTTAGAGTAGCTAAAATGAGGTTCGATAGTATCTTGATTTTATTAGAATTTTGGGTAATTTAAAAAAATAATAAAAACAAACAGCAAATCCAGAATTTCTAAGGCCATATTTCTCTAAATGAACAAAAACAGAAGAGGTACAGGTAGCAACAGAAATTGTTAAAATTAAAGACATGTAATAAATACCTTTTTAAATGAATAATTTATTTAAAAATATCCTAAAAACCAATTAAAGGAACATCAGAAAATGACCCTCTTTGACCAGGAATTGATTCAAGAGCAAATTTCATTTCATCAACAAGCATTAATAACATAACTGATAAACTCAACTAAATATTTAAATATTTCATTTAAAATTATCTCATTTTATATTAGAGTAATTTTTCAGTAATTTTTGAGGAAAACCGTGACCATAAGCATTAATTTAAAAAATTATAAAGGCTCAATTAAAATTTTATTTTCTATTTTTTCATTAGAGTTGGATTGTATCTTGGCTTTTATGGTGGCATAAATCAAAAAGTTTAACCTCCGCAGGTTTAGTTCTGAGTTTCCCACATCGATCACGTCCACGAGTGATCAAATATTTTCTATTTTCTATGCAAAATATTTTCTAAAAAACTTACCAAAGTCATAACACCTAAACGAAATTTACTTTCCCTTCTTCCAGTAGCATTTATCGGAGCATGAAAACCAATAACAGCAACAAGCGATACCTTATTTAAATTTTAAAATAAATTTTAAAATTAAAATTTACCAAAGTTGTTGGAAAAACTAAATTAAAAACATAATAAAAAGATTGTCTTCTCAAAATTAAAATAATTTGAACCATCGAAAATGATTCGTTTCCCAAATATTCCATTGTTCCGTTTTGCATTATTGCATCTATCTACAAATTATTTTTTTAAATTTTTATGAATATAAGGGTGTCAGTTGTTGATACCGGAAAAACCGAAAATTTGGTAAATTTGGTAAGACAACCTTATTTAGGTATGTGACATAAAATTCGAAAATTATTCACTTCCCAAAATATTGTTTCTGAATTCGTTTCCCAATAAGATAAGAAGCATAAAAAATAAAAAAAATATTTCTAGTTTACCAAAAGCCATTCTTGATTGTCATAAAAATCACCAAGAAATACTTCACTTGAATCAACAGAAAATCTAACGAATTGTGATTGATATGACCATGAACCTATCTGTTAAAATATTTTTAATTTTTTGTTAATTTAATAATTATTAAATTATTCTCCAAATATTTTTCCAAAATTTTCTTTTACAAAAAATACACATTTATTTTACTATTCTTTTATTTATCCCATACACCCTCGCTTTATTTATTTCCTTTTTTTATTTAAAATTGTTAGTTTCCGCATGCCTATCGGGTTGGCACAGGTAAATACTCTTTATCCTTTTTTTGAGGATTTTTGGGGCATTTTTCTTTTACTTTTCTCTCCAAGGAAAATATTTTTAAATTTTATTTAGATAATTTTAAATATATGGAATTTTATCTGATAAATTTTAAATTAAAAAATATAATTATTTTCTGTTTATTTGTTTGGCTAAAAATGTCCCAAACTATTTCTGATGAAGAACAATTACAATTATTTTCTAGTACTTTTCCCCCACCTTCCCCTATTGTCAATATAAACAATAAAGTAAATGAATTAGTTGACCAAGTTTTTATTTTTTTAATTTAAAATAAATAAATTTAAAAAAAAGATTGAATCTATCGATGTTTCTTCTAATCAAATAATTATAATAACGACTAGACAAGGACCTCCAGATATGGCTAGAGTAGCGGTGATTTAATTTAGAATATTAGAAAAATAATTAATTAAATAGATACAAATTGTTGATATTGAAAGTGGGGAAGTATTGCCACATATGAATTTAACTGGAATTTTGTTATTGCTTACTAGAGGTATTGAAAATAAATTGAGTATTGAAATATAGAAAGAGCAATTTTTAAATTTAAAAATTTAAACTTGGCAAAGGAACAAATCTTTTTGTTCGAACGTGATTGGGAAGATCCCTTCTATCCATTTAATAAGGATTTTGGTATTGGGGTATCTTTAGAAAATGGGGCTGGATTGGGGCACATTAGGGATAGTGCTCTGATTTGGGTCGCTTCAGTAATAGTTCCATTTCAATTCTCGACCAACGACTCAAAATTTAAAGGAAAAAATAAAAATTTTAATATTCCTATCTTCCCTAATTCTTCTTTAAATTTCCTAAACAAAGGTAAATATACAATAAATTGGTTACAACCAAATCATTGGTATGGAGTGTATTTTAGAGCAGAACAGAGGTAATAGAAGGAAGATTTAAATAAATTATTTAAAAAAAGATATGGAGGAGGAACGGCAATTTATGCCAACGAAGAATTTTATTTATTAAAAACAAAAAAAGCTGAAGGAATTAATGGAGAAGGGGGGAAGCCAATAATTAGTTTTAGGTAAGTAAAAAATAATTTAAAAAATAAAATTAAAAAAAAAGATCCTCTCGAAATCAAGAAAATGGGCATTCTCTTGAAAATTTAATTTTAACAATTAAATGGGAACAACCAAAAGAAGAAAGGTTTTTAAGAATAATAATTTTAAATTAATTTTTTAAAGGCAAAATTTGGATGCTTTAGCTAATATAACATTATTTTGTAATAACCAAATAAATTATAAACAATTAAAATTAAATGGAAAAGAAGAAAATAAATCTTTAGAAATTTATGTAATTTAATTAATTTTTTAAGTTTAAAATAAAGTCAAAATTTCATTATAGGACGCCCCCAATAATCCCCTATTTAAGGAACTTATTTTTAGAAAGTTGGATACTGGGCGAAGGATTTGGTTGGAGGGTGAAAGATTGCCTTAGCGATATCCTCTATTAAAAGATACCTCTGATTATAAAATAAGATACACCCAATAATGGGTAGACCTCTATTTAAGAAATTTCTTTAAAAATTATTGGTAGTGTTAGTCTCTCTGTACGTGATACACTTCATTATATGGTATCTCAATTTTTCAACCCTGAGGGAATATCGAAACTATTTAAAAATATTTACGCCACTGAGTGGAGGACTTGGTTGGATGATAGAGGAGGTGACTAAGTAATACTCTCAATTCAAGGTACCTCTCATTATAAGATAACTCTCTTTTTAAGCCCTAAGGGGGTATCCAAAAATTAGGGATTTGAAAATAAATATTTCCAATTTTTAAAGCTGGATAATTATTTTGAAATAAATGAAGAAAAAAATAAAAATATAAATAACAGAGAAATAAATGTATTAATTAGTCCAAAAAATTGTACAAGGTTAAATTTAAATAAATAAATTAATTAAAAATTAATTTTTCTAAAAAAGAATTTGTTGGAATGTTGAATTAATTGCTGAAATAAATTTAAAAATATTTAGAAGAGCGGCAACACAAAATTGTGAAGAATTGGGAAAAGTAAATAGAAAATATTTAAAAATATTTATTTTTATTTTTTAGATAAATACAAAAACATTTTTAAGAAATTTTGTTGGATATGAATTTAATAATAAAAATAATAAATTAATTATTTATACAAATTATAGTGAAGGGGTAAATAAAGGAAATAATGAATTAAATGGATATGTTAAAATAACTGTTAATGAGGTATTACAAGAAGAAAATGAAGGAAATGAGGGAAAGAATCAAACAAGTTTTAATAAAACATTTAGGTACTTAATTAGAAAATTGGTTTAAAATTATTTGAGGATTTTTGTAAGATATTTGAGGTGAAATTCCGAAATTAATATATCATGGATCTAGACGACCGAGTTACGAGAAAAGGAATTGCCGGCAGGATCCCTGGTTTAAAATGCCAGACATATATTTTTCAAAGAACCGCATACACCCGAAATACTCGCTTCGAATCGTCTGGGTGCCTAGTTTAAAAGCTAATTTAAAAAGTTGTACAAAAATTTAAGATTAAAAAACAAACTATATTTATTTAGTACAGAAAATAATGAGAATAATTTTGTTGTGGAAGGATTGGAGAAGGGAAAATATTATGCAGTTCAATACACAGTAATTAATTAAATATTTTTTATAGTAAACAATACAGTCAAACTCACTATAAAATACATACTTGGAAATGAAGGTGTGTCCTATAATGAGTGTATATTAAATAGAGAGTATCCCCTAGGGAGCTCCCAACTAGGGTTGTCGGTTTTAGACCGACCTAACCGAAAATTTGACGATTTTCGTTCGGTTTGTCGGTTCGGTTTCGATTACCCGAAGAATTTGGTGAAACCGATAACTCTACACCCAACTTTATGACCCCCCAAATTTATAGAAGTATTGAGGGTATTTTATAGTGAGATTGGACTCTAAAAGAATTTTAAAAAATTAAAATATTTTAATTTAGTACGGAAAGACATCCCCTTTTGTTTATGAGGAATCTCATCGTTTTTTGGTAAATACTGGTTCAATGAATGATCCTTTAATTTGGCAATTTAATTTAACAAATGAAAAAGGAATTAAACCAAATGTTTGTAAATATTTAAATTTTAATTTGAAAATTAATTTTAAAGGTAATTGCTACAGCAATACTTTTATTTAAAAATTATGAATTGGGTGTAGATGTAGAACCCTTATGTAAATCTGATGATAAGGTAAATAAATTTACAGTAAATAAGAATAATATTGGGAGTTCTTAGAGAAAGATATTTTTAAATACACCCAATACTGAATCAATTTAAAATAGATTCTTAAATCTGGAGTGAGCACGTGGAGTGAGCTATCTAAACAATACCCCTCTATTTGATGTAAACACCACACTATAGAAATATTCTTATGTTATAGCAAGGAAAAAAGATTAAAAAATTAAATTCCTCACTATAAGGTGCGAATTGCGTAAATTGGGAAGTTTTTTTGACTTGCGGAATGCGGATTGCAGCTGGGGATTTTAAAAGATTCTTACGCAATTATACGGTTTTTTCACTTGCGGACAGCCCTGGATCCAACGCTATTAAATAAAAATCTAATCTAATTTTTAATAAAATTTTTTTTTTGATTTTTTAAAGAATCTTCTTCATTTTTGGCTCGATAAAACCCAAAATAAAAAAGAATTGAGCGAATTAAATATTTTAGATGCCCTTTGTACAATTTCCCCCAAACACAGCATTTGCCAAATCCCCGGTAATGCAGTAATGATTAAAGGATGTTTAATTAATAATTCTGGTAATTTGTGTTGGATATCGAGTATTGTTGTTAATGAAAAGGTTTTTTTGATTTTTTAAATAGAGAAATTTTTATTTAAAAGTTATATGCTGGAGAAAGAAAATGTTTATCCTTAATTAATTCTATCCCTCAATTACCACAAACAACTACAATAATTGGAGGTAATTTAAAGAAACGGTCAAACCTCACTTTAAGATAAGCCTCTTTACTAACAAACCTCTATTTAAGAAGCTTTTTTAAAATAATACTGGCCAATGGATGAGGAAGTTTTTTCGGCGATACCCTCTATTCAAGGAACCCTCGTTATTAGATATAATTTTTCAAGCCGTAATGGTTGGGTTTGGCAAAGCCGGATATCAGGATCCGAAAAACCTAAGGTATCCGAAATTTTCAGGTCGGATATCCAGGGATTTCTAGGATCCGGCAACCGAACAAAGGGTGAGGGGTTAGACTATAGTGAGGTTAGACTCTAAAAAAATATTTTAAATTTCCAAGGAAATATTTCCGCAACACAAAATTTAACAAAAAATATTTCAAAATCAAAAAAAAATAACAACTATAGAAATGAAATAGAGAAAAAATTATTTTTATTATTTTTTATTTTGTTTTTTTTTATTTTTAAAATAAAATAAAAACAAACCAAAAAAGTACAATTTTGCATATCATAAGGGAAATGTTTAACTAAAAAATAAATTTATTAAAAAAATATTTTTTCTAAACCATTAATTGGACATAAAGCACGGGAAGTAATTGGAACAAAAAGACGAACTTGACCATCATAGTGAAGTTGTGCCATAGCACTAGGGTCATATTCTGGAGTTCTGCCTTGAATACTTAAAAATAAAATAAATAAATAGAGAAGGTGAAAAAAAGTTTTTGAATTAAAACAATTTATTATAAAAATCTTCAAAAAAAAATTTCGCGGTCGACAGGATTCGAACCTGTGCGGGCAAAGCCCAATTGATTTCTAGTCAATCTCCTTAACCACTCGGACACGACCGCTTAACGACTAAATTTATTTTATTCCCTCAAAAGTTTCAGTTTAAAAGTTGGAAAGACGGCATGAATAGCCCAAATTTTCAGTTAAGGTAAAATACTAATAATTTTTAATTAATTATTTTTAAAAAATAACCTATGGTAAAGATAAAATTCCGGTCTCCATACCTTTAAATAAATATTTATTAATTTTTATATTCACAAACTACCCATCTAAGAGGAACAAAAGTAGTTGTTATTCCATCAAATTCACTAACATTCCAATTAAGAAAAGCATCTTCCCAATGAACGTCAAAATAAGCGGAAAGTGTTGCCAAATTATTTCTTTGATCCTTTAAAATAATTTTGGAAATAATTAAAAATTAATTTTTAAAAATTACTAAATCAACAATTTGATAAAGACTACAACGGACATGTACTTCAATAGTATCATGGGAATGTTTAACTGGACGTCGATATGGACGGGTAAGTGAACTGAAAATTATTTTATATTTTCAAATTATATAAAGCCCCAATATAAGATACTCTCTTTGGGCCAGAAAAATGTATTTTAGAAGGAAGTGTACATTACATAGAGGGTATTGCTTGGAGTTCCCTTTCAATAGTCAACCAGATAACCACAAAAAATTTATCCTAGACAGAAGTATATCAGGGGTGGGTGGGCTATATGGATGGGATGGGGGGGGGGGGGGAGTGGGATGGAGGGGGGATGGGATGGGGTATGGAGGGGTTATATATGAATATATGGATGGGCTCCCCCTATATCCGCCTATATGGATAGGCTCTCTTCCGCTTTTTTTGCAAAATCTTTCGCAGAATTCCACCTTAGTTACCGCGATCCGCTTTTTAAAATGCGGCAAGAACCATCCCCGAGATCTATATCTAGTATTGAGAGTATCTTATAATGTAGTCAAATCATTTTATTATAACCGTATCCTCTCATTTAATCTACTATTTGGATCATCATTAATTATTAACAAATTATCATCTTCCTCCAAAATTTCTGTTTGTTGTCCTCTTTTCCAATTATTAACTCCAAAATCTGTTGAGGATTGTTTCCTTGATTGCCCACGCTTTTTTGCAGCAGTAAATGCTTTAAACAAGTTTTTAGAAAATAAAAATATTAAATTTTAAAAAACCTTCTGTTTTGCATTGATTTAATAATAAAAATATAAAAACAAACAAAATAATTATTAATTGAGTTATTAAACAAAATGATGATATATTTTGAATTGACATTTAAATTAAAATAATTAAATAATCTAAAAAAATAAAGTAAATAATGGTAAAGTTTAGAGGATTGTTTTCGAACCTCACATTTGAATACAATATTGATAGTAAAAAATTTATACGTAAAATCGGGTTTATTTATTATTGAGGATATTGCTTAAGTAAGGGGCCCTTGCCTAAGGGTAAACAAAATTTAAAAATTCAAAATTAATCAAGTCCGATTTTAATAATTTTGATTTAAATGATAATTACTTAATTTAATCATAAAACATAGATGGACACAACCTGTTAATACCGGTTATTGGTTTATCGAAATTTAAAAACCCCGGTTTTCGGTTTTGTGTTTCTTTCACTCATCTTCATAAATTTCCATTTTTCGGTTTAAAAATTTTTATAAAAACGGTTAATTTTTGGCAAAAAAATATCAAAATTTCCGGTTTTAAGGCCATCATGTACAAAAAAAGTAAAAACTAAAAAATATTTTTTAATTAACAAAATAATTATATTTTTATTTAATTATAACATTTATTTAAATTTATAAAGAATAATTAAAATTTCGAAAAATTAAAAATAAAAAGGGGAAAATATTGACGAGTATTATAGCAAAAAATATTAGAATAATATTATGTGTCTGTTAATAAAAAATTTTTTTCTGGTTTCTTAACCACAGGAAAGGACGTAAAAAAGTGTTGTTACTTCTTTTTATTTAAAAAAATTTTTATAATCCCTCAAAAAAAGTTAAATTAAAAAAATATTTTAAAAAGCACTATTAGAGATAAAATGGATATATATTTTGTCTCTTTTTTTATTAACCTATACAACATACATACTTTTACTTAAATATTCCTCCCCTTATGTTCTCCTTTTACTTCCTCACACCAACGGATTTTATGTTCCGTTATTTTATGTTCCCTTAAAAATTATAGTAAATATTTCCTTTTCTCGTATATCCCAAAGAAGAGGAAAGATTTTTTGCCACATTATTGGATGAACGTTTTTTATATAGCACCTATTATTTTATTTTTTTGGTGTCGCGCTAACAATTTTTTCAGTTGGAAAAAATATTTTTTTGTTAAATATTTTTTTATTCTTTTCAAAAAAAAAAGAAAATGAGAATAAAATTGGCATTCTTTTATTTCCAATATATTTTTACATAGCCTAGGTAGTATATCAAAGAGGAAGTACGGAAAATGTCTCCCGTCTCGCACACAAAGTGCCGGATGTTGCAAATTATTTATTGAAAAAAATCAAGGGGGAGAGAGAATTTTTATTTTTAAATTGTGAAAAAATATTATAGTAATAGGTATACGTATTTATTATAATATAATGTTGAAAAAATTAGCCAGCCTAAGGAATGGCGGATGGGGTCTTCGAGAATAGAGGTCTTTGAGTACTTGATCAAATTAGAGATCGGACTGAGATATCGTACGATAATCGAGATCTGTATCTATAAAATTATATATCTCGATAACCTAGATTTTTGTTAGAGCTCACGTCTCGGTCCGATCTCTATTCGAAACACCTTTATTTTGGGAAAGTTGTTTATTAACATTTTAAAGAATAATTTAAACGTTTAATAGATAAAGAGTAATTATTGAATTAAAAAATAGAAGTTTAATGATGTCTGTTTCCTGACAGTTCCAACTTTTTGACTGTTTCAGGATTTCAGCAATCCTTGAAACCGGAACCTAAACATAACTTATTAAGTCTAAAACCAATACAAAGCAAAAAATTAAAATAAAAATATTTTAACAATTTTCTCCAAAAATTTAAAAAAGTCATGCGTCAATGTTTGCGTCACAATTTTTGGGTATTTGTCCTTCCTAACTATCATTTTTCTCTTTGCAAAAGCTACTAATGTGCCGATGTTGTTTTTGGCAGGTTTACTAAAAACCTTTCTTTATTTAAAGCTTTATTCAGTATATTTATATCTCAAGGGAACCATTGCGTATTTTCAGCAAAAAATATCGAGTAAATACTACCAAAAATCGAACAAGCATGTAAAAGGATATATAAATATGACAAGAAAAAAGAGAGAAGGAATTATCTTTAATTTAATATTAATTTACATTTTTTAAAGAAAAAATATGTAAAAATTGTGTAAAAGAAACAAAAAATTAGTACTTTTTGGTTCTGCCACCTCCTCCTAAATTAATGCTCAAAATGTCATATATAGGGTAATAAAAAGTACTGATTCGAACGGTACCACTGATTTTTCCTGGAGATGCATGTGGACTGAGATATAGGGCTCGAAATGGTCAAAAACCTACGGATCTCGTGATCCGTAGCCTCTCACTCGTATCCGCATAACCTACACAAATCCCCGAAATAATATTATCCATTCATTTTCCATCCGGAGCCCGGAGCCTGCATTGATATTGGGCGTATCATGGAATTTTGACGGATTAAGAGGGATATAGGCGGATTAAGAAAATAAATGGGATTTGGATGATGATCCCCTGCATCACTGTCAACAAATGCCCAATACCCAGCACTGACTCGGGTTTTTCTCAAATACTCGGACTCGGACGTACTCTAGTTTGAATCCTGATAAAGCAGAAAAATCGTTTTTTTAAATAAAACTTTACCATTTTTAAATTACAAATATTAAAATTATGCTCATTTTTCGAATTTTATTGTTAAGATTTTAAAAATAAAATTAAAAAAATTTTTATAAAATTTTTAAAAAATACCGAATACCGGCCGGTATACCGAAAATGTTGAGACGGTATTTTCCGGTATCGGTATTTTTTCGGTATACCGATACCGAATACCGGAAAAGGTCATTTGCCGAACACTAGTTAAAAGCTCATTTGTAAGTGCTCAACGAGCCAAAAACAAAAAATATTTTTATCTTCAATTATGTAACTACAAGCAAATATTTTTTAAAAAATTTTTTAAAAAATAAATTTTTCCTCAAAAAAAAATAAATTCCTCAAAGTTCAAAAGCTTTTTCCTTTCCAAATAGCTGTTACTATTGAAAATGGAGTCATTGGAATATTCCAACTTCGATTACCTTCTTTAACAGTAACATTTAAATTTACTTGATTTGAATTGAGTAATACAAGAACTCGATTACCTTTTTTAAATTTTTTAATTTTAAAAATCACAATTTAATTTACCATTTGGAGTAATAAAAGCAACATGTTCAATTTCGTTTTCAATTCCAAATAAATTGTCAATTGAATTAAAAATACATTTTAAAGATATTAATTTAACTATAAATAGTTAAAAATAATTTTTAAATTTTAGAATTAAAAAACCTTTTTCTTCACAAATTGTTGTGGAAAGGGTTGAAGAAATTACTATTGAATCTCGAGGTATAAAATTACTAAATATATTTTTATAAACTTAATCATAATTCCAAGTAAATAATTATTTACAGCAGACTTGGTAATGGACATAGATTTTGGTATCTGTATCCGGATATTTATGATGGATACAAGCGGGTATCCTCATGCATTTTAAAATTATCTGTATCCATATCCGTATCCATTACCAAGTTTGATTTTAAGTTCAAACCTCTTTTTAGATGTCTCTTGGGGTTGAAAGAATCGTATTGGGAATGCCATGGGTTATCTGAAAACCTACACCTGAAATCCGAGGCCCGTATTAAACCTGATCTGACTTCTTTCTTAGTCCGTGAAATCCCCGAATATTACCTAATGACGAGGGGTACATTAAATAATGGAAACTACAAAATGAGAGTATCTAAGAATAAGGTTCAACTGTTTATTTACCTAAAATGAGCCAAAAAATAGAATGTTGGTTGTTTATAAAATTCATCAGCAGAAGCATTTACTATAATCTTTAAAAATTTTATTTATAGAATTAAAATTATATATTTAAACAAACAGGTGCATCAACAAAATTTCTAACCCAATTCGGGCCTCCTTGAAGATCAAGACCTAAATAAAATTAAGAAAATATTCAAATAGTTTAAAAATACATAAATTCCAATCAATCCATCCAATAACCCAATTTTTTAAATTATTCAAAATATCATGTCCATATGCTTGCCCTCTAAACCAAGCACCAAGTAAAGGTTTGTGTTCCCATGGTAAATAGGCATTACAAGCCTTAAATATTTAATTTTGAGATAAAATGATACACCCGATTCGAAGTACACCCATAAAAGATACCCAATGATACTAGCTATCTCTTAACTCAAATTAGCTATCTAGTAGATCTAATGATACAACTCTATTAATTGATACTTTATATAAATTTGATCTAAGAGATAGCTCTAATTAAAGATAAACTCCGTTATAAAATTCTACGATTTTTCTAAAGGTGTATACTATATACTCTAATTTAAGTATTTTTAAATTTAAATTACTTCTGTTGCCAAAATAAATTTATCTGGTTGAATATTGTGTGCTTGACTGAGAACTCCATAATCTGTATGGGAATACCAATGAGTACCTAATCCATCAATTGCTGCAGATTTTTGAGGGTCTTCATAAATCTAATTTAGATTACTTAAAATTAAAAAAAGCTAAAATAAAAACTTTTTTAGCAGTTTTATATACTCCGCTTCTTTGGTCATCATGTGCAATTATTTTTAATTTATTTGTAATATTAGATTCTTTTAAAATTGGAGATAATAAATTTAAAGCAAAATCTCTTTTAAAAAATTGTTTTTTAAAAATTTAATTTCAAAAGATTTTTTTCCAGATACCTTTGCATTTTGGCAGAAAAATACATTGCTTGCCAACCATAGAAAGGAGTAATACCAGCAGCTAATAATAGAATAAATCAAAAATTTAAATTAAATTTTAATTTATTTAAATTTTAATTTTAAGACTTCTAATGGATATAAGTATGTAAGTGGGGGATAATGATACTAATTGAGAATTCTCAAATGGATATTTCGCCCAAAAATACGAAAATAATAGGACAAACAACAAAGAAAATTTATCCTTTTTGGTTCTATTGTAATTGCAATACATAACTAGGGTTTCCGGTTCTTGGAACATCTTCGGATATCCGGAACAGAACAGAAAAATACTCGGTTCTTCGGTTCGGTTCTGAACCGACAATCTACATAAATTTATTTAATTACTTGGCTCATTTTCTATAGTCATTCCCCAAAAATTAATATTTTTTGTAGAATATTCTTCAAAAAATCTATAAATTATATTTAAAATAATATTTATAATTAATTCCCACCTTCTAAGGTAAAGTGCATATGTTTTATAATAAATACCATTAAAAGGGCCTTTTAATTCCCCCGGTCCTTTCATTCTTCCACTTGTTTTCATCCAACCTGGGGCTGACCTAATTAAATAAATACCTATTTTAATTATAATTATTTTTGTAAACCATGGTGAAGCTAAAAGCTCTAAATTTCCTTTAGTTAAATTAATAGCCGACAAAATATGTGGAATCTGACAAAAAGAAGATAAATAAATTAAAAATTTTAATAATTAAATTAAAAATTATAGTCAGACTTCACTATAAGATACACCCCAGGATCTGAAAAAAGTTGTATCATATAAAGTAAAGCTGAACTGAACTATATCTACATATTTCTCCTTTGGCAAATGCAAAAGGTTATTCGGCGCCTGAACCGAACCAAAATCTTCAGTTAAAGGGACCAATGGGTTATCCCATTACACATCGCTTTAGTAATTAAATAGGTATCTGCTCTACAATAATGAGTTGTTCTTAAATTTCTTTCCCACCTATTTAGTTGGCAAAAAATTAAAAAAATATTTTAATAGAGGTTTATCTTGTATTAGTGGGCATCTTATGGTATTTATAAAACCAAATATTTTTAATTTTTTTACTTTCAATTCATAATCTTCAGGTGCAAGTTTAAATTCATTCAAACTAAAATTATTTGGAGTATCCATATAAGAATATTCATGTGTAGAAAAATCACAACTAGCTATAGGTACACGTCCAATATTGTATTTAATACCTTTTTTATTTTTAAATTTATTTTTTTTAATTTATTTATTTTACCATTTTCTTCACTAAAGTATTGCTCTAAAAGTTTTTGTCTAGTATCAACACTTAACTGATTTAAATTAATTCCAACAGAATCAGTAAAAGCGCCCCCAAATCCAAATATTTTTTGAAATTTTTGTGAAGAATTAATTTTTATTTGAATTTCTTTTATTTTTAATTCTTCCCCATTTTCTTTCTCAATTAAAAAACGTTCTAGTCTAAATTCAGATTTATCAGATAAATAATAAACTAATTGATCATCCTTAATTTCTCCTAAAGGAGGAGGAGAATCACAAATTTTTGATGAACAAACACAAACAAAAGAATCAAGGCCATAACTATTTATTTAAATATTTAATTTAAATAATTTATAGACAAAACCTTTTCTTTTGGCAAGGTATTGTTGCTTTAATTAGTGAATAAAATGTTGATAGAAAATATAAAAATAATGAAGAAAAGAGGAAAAATGAATTAAAATTTAAACAATACATTTACATATATATATTTAAAAATAATTTTAATTAAAGTTTATTTAAAGAAAAATCTAAAAACTTTAAGAATGAGAGTAAGCTTTATGAAAGAAAAAATAAGGAGAAAAGTATAAATAAAAGGAAAATATTGAATTCAAGGTTGAAAAGACAAGAAAAAGTTTAATCTTTTCTCTGCAATATATAAATAAATTAATTCTATTTAATGATTGAAATCGATCAACATTTATGTAAAAACAATTGGTACATATTTAAAAAAAATATTTTATTTAAAAAAATAATACATACTATATGTATAATAGAGATAAAAGTTGATTCTGAATCCAATTTTTCGAGGAAGAATGAATTCATTTTTATAACAATTGTTGTCTATTTTTTAATATGTACATAGCAGGGATCTAGCCGACATAAAAATTCAATTCCCGATTTTCGGGAATCGGGACGGTTTTTTTTTAATTTTCGGAATCCCTGGTACATAGTACATACTTACAAAAATTTTAAAATATGTATATACTATATACATATTTAAAAATAAATTTAATAAAAAGAAATTTAAAAAATAAATTATTTTATTCTGATATACATACTTATTCCAAATATGTACAAGCTGCCGTTATCGGTAAATTGAAGTTCGTATACCACCCCCTTTTTTTCCCTTCATCAAGGTATTTAAAATGGTCAGGATTGTCGGCCCGAAAATGAGTCGAAAAGGCGATGATTTTTAGCTTTGGTTCCAGATATCCAAAGAGCATCCAAATCAATTTTTCGAGTAAGTTCGGGCTAAAGGTTGCTGACTCGTTCGATCTATCGAGTTGAATTAGAAATCCAAAATATAATATAAAATACAAATGAGAAACTAAGACACTCAATGCCTTTGATTTTGTGCAGTCTTGGAAAAAAATCTGTGATAAAATTCTTTCCTATCTAAAATTTTTTTTATTTTTCACTCTACTTAGTCTCAAATCTAGTATCAAATAAGAATCAATTTCCTAGTCAAAACTCTTTTTTTCATTTTTTCATTGCTTTCCCAGCAACTCTAATTACTGTATAATTTCTTAAACTTTAACCATTATTTTAAGGATGAATAAAGGTAAATGAAGAACACAAGCTAAATATTATTTTGAGGTCATCAAATACTAGACGAACATTTCAAATACTAGACAAATACTTATTATTTAGTTATAAAATAAATAATAAACAGACTTGCCCCCTCATTTTTTCATTGCTATCTTAATATACCTTACATTAGTACATTTATTATACTTTATTAAGGTCATTTTCTCCGTTTTTCATCGAAAATTTTTCTAAAAACTCAGTGTTGTAGGTGTAGTAAAACAATTTATGTAAAATTCAAAAAAATATCTTTTATAAAATTAATTTTTTAATAGTAATTTAAAATAAAATCTAAAAATATGAAATTTAAACAACTGAATAATTCAAAAATAATTCAAAAAAAGCAAAATAAACATTTACCACTTGAATTAATTTTTGAAATATTTAAAGTACAAAAATTTCCACTAGGTCCAACAGATACTTTGGTGAAGCTGCATAAAATATAGTAAGTAAAAATAAAACGGATTTAGCATTTTAAAGATTATAAATGAAGTTTACTAGGCAAATACAAAATATTTAGTGAGTTTTTTTTGTTTTTGAAGATACATATAGTAGTGATGCTCGGGAGAAGAAAAAACCCGGGAAACGGGAGTCGGGTCGGGAAATGACCTCGGGAGTCGGGATCGGGAGTCGGGAATTAGCAATAAAAAAATTTTTGGCGCCTTCGGCGCCAAAAATTCCGATTTTTTGCACCATAGGCAAAAATATTGAAAATTTTGGCAGGTAAAGAAGCCTTACTAGCGCCGCAGGCGAAAATTTTGAGAATTTTTAGGTCTTGAAGTTAGATTTCTTCCATTTTTTGCGCCGCAGCCAAAAATTTTGACTCTCATTGGAGTGAAATATCTCTTCATATCCCTCTATAGTGAACTATCTTTAAGGGTAACTTAAGAGTTTATTTCACCGATTATTTGGAAAGATAAGCCAACAGCCTGTCCAAAAAACCTAGTCTTCAAATTCACCATAATCCTAGTAAATCACCGAAATCTTCTATACTAAAACTCCACAGATTCTTCTGTTTTCAGCGCCGCAGGCGAAAATTTTGAGGAATTTGGAAGATCCTTAAGCCAAAAATCTTCCCTTTTCAGCGCCGCAGGCGAAAATTTTGGGAATTTTAGGAGACCAAGAGGCCAGATTTCTTCATTTTTTATAAATGAAAATATAATTTTGTCAGAAAAATCCATTCTTAGGGGTGTAAAAATTTCCCGACTTAATCGGGAATTGACACCGGGAGTCGGGATCGGGATCGGGAGGCCAAAAACTCGGGAAATTTTCCCGAGTCGGGAGTCGGGATCGGGATACCCGAGCATCACTAACATATAGTTACTAAAAAGTGATCTCATCTTCATTGGCTCTATAAATTATAATACCTATTTGATTTCCAATCCCGATTTTATAATACTGAACTTGAATTTTTTAATTTCAAAAGAGGGGCCTGAATATGCTGATTTCTGGGCTAGATTTCTGGGCTTTTTTATTTTTAAATTTATTTTTTAGATTTATTTTACCATTTTCCATTCCATTTTTGCCGCTTCTCGGCTTAGGTTTTTACAATTTCGATTAGGGTTGCCAGCTTGCTTGAATCGAAACTCGAAAGATCGAGCGAGCCGAGGCTTTTAAGCTCGAAAACGAACCGAATCGAAAAAAACCAAGCTCGAAATGAATGCACCGAACGTCGGCTCGAACCGAAAACGGCAACTTTTTTTGGTCCTCTTCCGCCAAAAATACACCTTCTAATGCGGCCATTATTTTTGAAAAAATTTGCTCTGGCCTTCCTAAATTTTTTCTGACGGCGCTAATAATGAAAAAAGCTTGCCTCTTGGTTTTCCAAAATTCTCAAAATTTTCACAGCGGCGCAGGCGAAAATTTGGAAAATAGAAAATTTTTTTAACTGTCTCAACTATGTATCTCCTTGAAAAAAGCAACCAGACCCATACCTAATATGCACTAGGATATAGGTCACCAAAAATCGAAAAATTAGCTCATTTTTGTCTAAGCTCGCCTTCGGTATACTGATTATTAGTTTTTATCCGCACCGGACTTTGTCAATACCGCAAATAAAAGTTTTCTGATAAATATATCCGGGATTTCAATCGTATCCGTATATCCTGAGATTCGGTCGGATCCGGATACTCGCTGATTTCCCAGGAATTTTCAACTATAGTCAAGGTAACTATTTTAGATTTAGCTTACCGTAAATCTTCTAATAGAAGCACAGTGCTTCTATTTTTCGATCCTCTTCTAGGGTGTGCTTATATTGGGGACTGTGCTTCAATTGGAGGCTGTGCTTGTATTTTTCGATCTTTTTTTCAGTTTTTCGAAGAAAATTTTTACCCAACATAAAAAAAACAAAAATTAAATTTCAATTGAATTTATAAATTTCCATGTAATTTTATAACCAACCAGCTTCATAAATTTTTTCCATTCGAAAATTTTCACCTTCCGAGCTGAAAGGAACAAGCACCGATCTCATGGAGCCAGACCCTTTATTCCCTTAAAATCCTCTTATATCCTTTGATACTTCTCTAAATCCAACCAACAATATCCCTCTTGATGTCCCTCAACAACCCTAGTTGTAGGTCTTGAGTGTTAACCCGCTATTTCCCAATTTTATACTAATTAGCTTATTTGTTGCAAAATTTTTATAAAAAATTTTTTTGAACTCCCGAGCTCGGGTCTAAAAAAATCCGGATTTTCCGGATTTTAATACGGGAAATCCGAACCGAACTAAGAAATTTTGAAGCCCGGAATACGAATCCGGGGCCGTATATGAAAATAATGCGGGAATCAAATTTTTTCCTTCATTTTTTCCTTTCAATATTTTTCCTTATTTTGTACAGAAAGGTCAGACTTTTTCCCTCGTTTGCTTCCAATGAATTTCCCTGTGGCATGTTCAAATGTAATACACGGACGGACTCGGACAGACAAAAACAGACAGACAAGACACGGACGAACACACAGACAAAAATCGGACGGACTCGGACAGACAAAAACAGACAGACAAAACACGGACCAACTCGGACAGACAAAAGACGGACCAACTCGGACAGACAAAAGACGGACGAACTCGGACGGACAGACAAAACACGGACTAACTCGGACGGACACAGACAGACAAAACACGGACCGACTCGGACAGACAAAAGACGGACCAACTCGGACAGACAAAAAAGTAAATGCTCACAAAGTTAGAGAAAAATAATCCTTTTGCGGTGATAGTTCGCGGGTATTTTCCCTACGGCATAAATCAAATATAGAGAGAATTATTGAGAAATTGACTATTATGGGGAGCAGTAAAAAATTTGATTCCCGCATTATTTTCATATACAGCCGAATCCGGCATTTTTCCTAATATAAACAATAAAAATGATACCTATGATACCTATGGTGTTTTTCAGCGGTATAATAGGGGTGTGCTTATATTAGAGGGTGTGCTTAAATTAGAAGCTGTGCTTTTATTTTTCGATCCTATCATAGGGTGTGCTTATATTAGAGGGTGTGCTTCAATTAGAGGTGTGTTTCTATTAGAAGATTTACGGTATTTTCACTAATTAGATTTAGCTTATTTCACTAACTTATTTTCACTAATTATCACAATTTAAGAATTTTGATTTTAATTTTGAATAAAAAATTTATTACCGTATTATCTCTATTAGAATGCCCCTCTCCATTTGAATGCCCCCCTCTAATAGAATGCCCCTTTGGAAGGTGATTGAAAAATAGAATGCCCGGGCATTCTATTAGAGATAATACGGTATTTTTCCGCTTCCGTTTTCCGCTTACTTCCATCTTTTTTGGGTCTTCGCTTTCTTCTTCCGTTTCGTCTGCCTTCCGTATTCCGTTTTTAAAAATTCTAAATTATACAGCCCTGATAAACATGTTGATATTAAGTTAATGTGATTTAATGTGTAAACGAATATGTTCTAACCAGGGTGGCTGGACATTTCCAAAACACTACGATATGGAACAGCCCCTCAAAAATAGAGGAAAATTGGTCAAAAATAGGGGGAAAATAGGAGAAAAGATTAAAAATAGGGAAAATCCTCTATAAATAGTTCGAACCTAAAATAGCCTTTTCGGATATGGATCAGAGATGAATTAAAAATAAATTTTAAATTTACAAAAGCATATGTGTATTTACAACGGTGATATGCTGAAACTATTTTTGAAAAGCGAAAGTCAAAAAAGACAAAAGGCATAAATGACAGGCCACAGATTCTCAAACAGTTTAGCACGTATATCCTTAGCTTATTTCCCTACGATTAGACTTAACGAGACACGTTTTTACCCTAATCAATTTTGAGCCATTGGTAGAGGACGGCAGTATTTACCACAGATTGATAGTATTAGTCAAAACTTTTCATTTAAAAGTGGAAATGAATATGATGCATACTTTTGTACAAAAGCAGTTCGAACTTACATGAAAAATCATATAATAAAACTACTGAAAACCTCTAAAGTTATTCATTTGTTTGTTAATAGATGGGAATACGAAATGGCAAAAGTAAGTCCTTATTAAAACATATAATGTAATTAAGAAATCCTGTTCCTTTTTCAAACCCGACTCATTCCCCTTGCTGTAATTCTTGTTCCGCTTATATAACGTAGGGAAAATTGAAGACGCAAATTGAAGCCGGTTTCTTATGTATTATTAAATTACTGTTAAGAAAATAAATTTTAAAACTAAAAATAAATTATGCTCGAAAATCCGAAAATTAATACAAGCTATGTATTAATGGTTCCTTTGTGAGCGGCACCTTATTATGGTGTTTTAGAATAAGCCAACTTGGATAGAAGAGAAAGACAAAAGCCGAATCAATGACATCTATCCAATAAACTAAAAGTTAATATCGAGTAATTACGAGGTATTACCCATAATTGATGTTTTATAAGTGGTCGCTTATAATAAGTTTGAGTCAAAATGTCGTATCATTTATTATTTTACAATTTTTTTACTTTTAGAATATTCAATTTATTGCTTTTGAAGACTACCATCAAGAATTTAAAGATGTTCTTCAGTTAATTTTGAATTTATACAAGGAAACTTTAAACTTAGACAAGATGGTGAAATTTCATAACACTTAAATAAAAATTTTATATTGAGTGTAAATTAGTATATTACGTACTTGTGTGTAAAAGTATTAATTTCTAACATTCGAAAGTCCATTAAAAAATTATAACGGCAGAACTCTTAAATTTTTTGCGCCGCAGGCGATAATTTTGAAAATTCATAACTAAATTGAAATTTTTAACGTTTTTCAGGTTAAGAATACTAAAAAAATAAATTTAAAATTAAAATAAAAGTTTAAAAACATTTATTTTTAAAAAGAAAAATTTTCTACGCCTCATTCCCATCTCTGGATTCGAACCCATCCCTGCCAAAATATCTAAGTTTTATCAAAAAATTAAAAAGGAGTTGGGTTGGTTTTGTTGTAAACGATGAGCACATGACGAGCATGTTTCGGCTCCTTAAAAGACGCTAAACTTGAGAAAGTTAGCGTCATAATTGAGTTACTTGACTAAGCTAACTAATTAACAAAATTAGTTGAAAAAATTGCAATGACAACAAACAAGTTGAATATGAGAAAACCAAAAAAATTTGCCCTTGCGCCTATTTGGCATGCGCCTACTTGGCCTGAGCCTACTCGGTCACGCCTACTTGACCCGCGCCTATTCGGGCGTTCCCAAATATTTTTAAGGTTTTTTGTTCTGATGTTTTGTTTGATTTTTTTGTTCTATTTTTTTTAATTTTTTTGTCCTGGTTTTTTTTTCTTTTTTTTTGTTCTGATTTTTTGTTCTGGTTTGTAGGCTGATTTTCTTCTGGTTAAGATGTTCAACTATGGTTATTCCACGACGGGAGGTTGTTCCAACGGGGTTAACCTTGAAGACCTACACCCTTAATATATTGACTGAAGACCTTTAACCTTCTGATTAACACAAATTTTGGTAATATTTTGGTTTAGACCCCCTCCTCCATTTTTTCCTTACTCTTTTTATGGCAAATATAGTATATCATTTGGAAGAGCTCTTCCAGCTGAGTCGAGGGGAATGAAGGGGATAAAGGGAACAAAAATCAGAACAAAAAAATGAGAAAAAAATTTTTAGGGAAGAAATAAGTGGGCGCCCAGTTTTGCCGCGCCTAGGTGTGCCGCGCCTATTTCAGAATAACAATTGCGTGTCGGTTCGAAATTGTTATTGTTGTGCAAACATCAGTGAGCAACCTTTACAAATAAAAATAGCTGCCTTGCGCCAAACTCTGCGCCAGATCGGCGCCTGTGCCCAGGCCCGTAGCCAGGATTTTTTTTCGGGGGGGGGGGGGGGGGGAAATTTTTTGCGCCAAATTTTTGGCGCCGAAGGCGCCAAAAATTTTTATTTTCAGCGCCCAGGCGAAAATTTTTTGAATTTTAGAAGGCCGTAGGCCAAAAAAATTCACTCTTTCGGCGCCGCAGGCGCCAAAATTTTGATTTTCAGCGCCGCAGGCGAAAATTTTTTAAATTTCAGAGGCCGTAGGCCGAAAAAATTCACTTTTTTTGCCACAGCCCTTCCCCAAATTTTTTCCTTTTTCCCATTTCGGGGGGGGGGGGGGAATTCCCCCCCCCACCCCCCCCCCTGGCTACGGGCCTGCCTGTGCCATTCTATTTACGCCTAGTTAGCTCGCGACATATCGTTTCGTAAAGCAATTTATGGTTTGCGCCAACATAGCCACGCGCGCGTGTCCCGACTGATCTTGGTGTCTATTTGAGTTTGACTCTACTAGTACTTTGGCGGGAGACTAGGTTTTGATAAACACCCCATATATTTTACCTAAACTTTTATTTTTTTCTTTTCATTTCGACACATTTTATTAAAAATATTTTTTAGACTTATTTTGATAAAATGGCTGACGATGAATCCAAAAAAACTGACAATTCCAATAAGCAAGTTGAAAAAGCTGTTAATACTCCTCAGAAGGAAACAAGAAAACGGGAGGCTGACATTGGTATTCTTTTTTAACAATAGAGTTATAGCATTTTTAATGAAAAGATCTTTTTGGGTTCCTTTGTTTCTGGACCCAAGTTTGACAATTAGGTGTCGGAACTTATGAAAACTGAATCTAATAAAGTAGGATTAAGTAGAATTAGAGGCAATCCAGGAGAATTAGGGTCCCTGCGGAAAAAAATCTTGAAAATAAGAAAAAGGATTGCCTTTTTCTTATTTCTCCTGGATTGCCGAATTAGAGACTGAATCGGAGTCCCTAAATCTTTAAAAACCACGGGGAAAGCAAATTTACTATAGTGGATTGAATAAAGCTTACTGCCTCCTTATACAGGGGAGCCACATTTGTCGACTTCGATTCAGATAAAAACTCAAGTTTTTTGGTTTTACAACCAGAATCATGGCTGTCCTGTCGTTTTTTATTATTAAGATTGGCAACTATTTAATAAAATCGGGTCAGCGCTTTTTAAGTGCTTTTCTTGCCAAATATTTCTGTAGGCGATCCTGGTGTTAGATATTTCTAATGCTAAACTAAATTATATGTTAAACAATTTCACATTTAAATTTAGATTTGTTAGAAGGAAGTTCTACCGGCAAAAGGGCAAAGCGTGTCTCGGAAGAATCACCAGGAAGGAAAAATGCAAAAATATTACTTTCTCAACAAGAAGATGGACATTGCCCACAGTGTGGAAGTTTTGCTTCAAATTGGTCGGTACATTGTAGGACAAATCATCGTGAATTTGTTGATTATGGAGGGGATTTTGTTGTTGCTCATAGACATGAGGTTTTTATTTTTTTATGAAAGTAGTGTTTACTGTTTTCCCCCTCGGATGCATTTTGTCAAAACAACTCCAGAAGGATAAATCTTGCCCTCGATATTTCTTATTGTTTCATATCTTCAATAACTTCTATAGCATATACCCAGCTGCTGAGCGCACCATTTAGTTTAAGTGAGTTTTTACCCTAAAATTGTTTAAGCAATACATCCTTTTTGTTTTTGACGACTATTCAACTACTGTATACTTTTTTGCAGAAATAACGTTCATTCATTTATGAATAAGAATATGTTATGACGCAATAAGAAAAATCGAGTGGCGGCGTTTTTTTTGATAGTTATTTTGCCAACTTTATGCGCTAAAAATGTGTTCTTAGCGCTTAAAACTGAGATTTCCCTTATAACTAGATATAGATTTAATAATGGACAGATAAACATTTATATGATAAGTCGGTTTAATTAGATTTTGAGTTAATTCTTGAATAATTAACAAATATTTCTTCTTAGGTATATCAGTTTATTTCGCAATGCTTGCAAAAGTTGGGTGCTTCCGAACATCATTCTTCTGTATTGGCAAAGTATTTGACTTTTTGTGATACTTTTGGATATTCAAGGTAACCTTAATTTTTAACTATTCGGTTTTAAAATTTAAATTCTTCTAATTCACTTTAACTACTAAAATATTATATTTTTAGCGAGGGTTTGCAAAAGCTCAACTATTATGTGGACATGTTAATTGCTGACAAGTTTTCAGCTTTTGGTTATTTTTTTTCTTGTAAAATTATTAAACATTTTATTAAGGTGAACCTCAAGTTTTGGAGGAAACCGGATATTCATTTAAAATTGATTGTTCTGGAATTTTGGGCCCATTAGCAGCAGATTTCTGTGCAAGCAAGGCGTTAAGTTTCGATATAGGCAAGGAGCCAAAAGCGGTTATGGGAATTGTGAATGCTGAGTTCTCAAGTGAATTTCCGTGTGTTCCTGAACTTATGGATTTTTGTGCGGATTCTCTTTACAGATCAACTAAAAATGTGAGCGATAAAAGACCTTAAATAATAATGTTGTTCCCCGACGTGGGGGGGGGGGAATTCTTTTTAAAAAATGTCTCAGGGAGGCATCGACACGGGACGGGGCAGTGCTGAAAATTTTCTAGTAGAAATTTCGGGGAATCAAATAATTTTTTCCATTTTTACGGCGATAATTTTGAGAATTTTGGAAGACCACGCAACAGCCTTCTTCCTTGTTTGTGCTGCAGGCGAAAATTTTGATGAGATGAAAAATAATTTAGAAGTTTAAAATCATTATCACGAAACAAAACAGTTAGATAATCAGAAAATAAATTCCATGCTACTCTCAAATTCCCCGACTTTTGGGGAGGGGACGGAGTACAACCCTATTAAATAATCTATTTTTATTTTTCTTTTTTTATAGGGAATTATTATTTCTCGTAACTCCATGACCTCTTTTGTTAATGAACGTAAATTAAATGCCCGGACACACAAGAAAGAAGATTTTATTGGTGTGCATAATTTTCTTAGTGGAGGTGTTGATGCTAAATCCAACACGGTTTGTCATCTCCTTCTATTAATTAAAGAAAATTTTCCAATAAATAAAAATTTCAAATAGGATCCTAATCAATTATTGATATCCTCCATATACCCAACAGTTTTAAAACTTTAATAAATTTTCAAGTTGTGAATTCTTGATACTTTAAATAAGACATGAAATACTTTAAGGCCGACGGGCGGGGCTTTTTGACAAAAATTTGAATTTTAATTGGAACTTGGAACTTAACTCGTTTAAATTTTCCCTTGCTAAAAATTAGCCAAAACTTTCTTTTATTTCAGATGTACTTCATTACAAAAGGCTCACATAAGACTGGACGCAAAGAACCAAAAATTAATAATCTGGAAGATTACAAGAATTTCATTGAACCATTTATTACTAAAATTATTGAGGTAAGTAGATTAAAGTTGAAATTATCTGAAGTATAATTTAAAAAATGGTTTTTCATAAAATATTAATTTTGCTACATTACAAAATTTATTTTCTTTTAGAGCAAAGTATATCTGGATTGGAATAAAAGAAAACACAATTATGAGGAGCGCTCTCGAAAGTTAGGTGGTACTAAGTATGATCTGGTTTATTTTAAGGATGTTTACGAAAAATTGGTAAGCCTATTCATTGTGGAATAAAGTAAACCTGGGCAAATTAGTTAAGGATTAAGAATGATTATTTAAAGGCTTAGTTTAAAGGGGGAGGTTATTTAGTGTGGTTGCAACGCCTTATCATTTCCAAATAATTTTTTATAACTGTTGGCCTGTAATCCAAATAACGTAAAATCCTTATCTTTCCTTGTTGCTTAGATTATTAAAATAATTTACTTAATGACTTTAATTATCCAATTTCAGGCAGCTCTTGTTAAGACTTGGCCCATTGACATTGAAATGTTCGAAGTTTACTGAACCGGGCATAATTAAATTATCTTAAAACTTTTTCCTTTGAAAAAGTATTGTTGTTGCTTATACTATTTTGAATAAAAAATTAAATTTAAAATGTATTTACCTAATTAAAAAAAATAAATTCCTAAATTAATTGTGTTTTTAGTTCAAAAGCACTCACATTTAACTTTATTTTGAAAGAAAAAATTATTAGGGTAAGGAAATAAAAAAATAATTCATGAGTCCCATAGTTCCCACAATTGTTTTGTATTATTTTTGAATAAGTTCAAAAAATACTTAAAATCTCGAGTATAATACAAGATAAGTCAAATTAATATTTACAAATGCCCTTTACAAATAAAATAATTACAATCTCTGCATAAGAATTACATATATTCACAGAAATTTATTATACTTATACCCTTTCTTTAATTATTTATTCCCTCTAGTCACTATCATCGTCAGATTTTTCACTATCATGTTTCAGAAGCATCTTTTCCATCTTATCTGTCTCATAAATATCTCCTTTTGTTTTATTCATTGGTTCAATTGTCTCATTAGATTCATAAGTATTTGGAACAATAACTTCATCAAAATGACCTTTCTTCTTTTTCTTTTCTTTCAAATCTTCTTTTTTGTTTTCCTTCTTCTTCTCTTTATTCTCATCCTTTTCCTCCTTCTTCTCTTTCTCCTTCTTATCATCATCCTTCTTCACAACAATTTTACCTTCGTCTCTTTCAGATTTAATATTTAAATATTTCCCTCTTCCTTCCTTTATTTTATTTTTTTGATTATTTTTATCCAATTTCTTTTCAGTATCTTTTAAATTTTCCTTTTTCTTCTTTCCCAGAACAATGTAGACAACAACAGAAATAATGGCAACCCTTAAAATGGAAAAATAATTTTGTAAGAATGATTCATCTGGCAGCATTTTAAATGCTTAGGCGGGGTTAAACGATCTAAAATGATAAAAGAGAGAGTCGATGCCCCGGTAGCTCAGTGGGAGAGATCTTGTATAAGGTGAGCGAAAGCGCCTAGCAATCTGTCAGGAGGTCGCAGGTTCGAATCCTGCCCGATTTTTCAATTTAATTTAAAAATAAACTTACAAAACAACAACTCCAACAATCCCTCCAATAATTAAATATTTAAAAGGAAATCCTTCTTTTGTTGTTTCTTTTGAAGACGAAATTACTGTTGGTGTTGGTGGGGAAGAAATAGTGAAGTTATCAGTTGAAATATTCCCAACAATCTCAATAGCCGTCCCATTTGTAGTGCTGATTGAAGGAATTGAAGTAGTTTGATTGAAATCTACTGAAGGATCTTTTGTCGAATAACTGCTAATCTCTTCTTTAGTAGTCTCGACAATCTCTTCCTTTTTGGAAGTTTCAACAATCTCTTCTATTTTTGTAGTTGTTGTCTCTTGAGTAGTAGTTTCTGTAGTTTCTCTTTTATCTACAATTACAAAAAATTTTTTTGAATTTTTACTAGAAATTCCGGGAGCAGGCCAAGGTACCGCAGAGCTATAACTTTGTTCAGAATGGTCGAATCCGGGACGCCCTGGTATGGTTCGATTCGGCTCGCCGAGGCGCATCGAACCATACCAGGGCGTCCCGGATTCGACGATTCTGAACAAAGTTATAGCTCTGCGGTACCTTGGGACTGCGATACCCTTACCCGAAATTTCTCTCTTAAATTTACCTTTAGAAGGTTTGGAAGAAGTTAAAACATCATTATTTTGCACTGTTGTTTGACTGTCACGAATTGGCAATGGATGAAGCAATCCCTTATAGAATGGTTTTTCATCTGTTTGATTAACAGTTCTATTTGATGGCGCTCCAATAATTAACATTTGATATTCTTTACGAGACTTTAAAAATATTTTTAAAATTAAAATTCTTCAAAGAAACTCACAAAAACAATTTTCACATTATCACATTCAGTACCAACATTGTGCCCTTTCATTATACCAACACTACGATGACGAGGTACCAGCATTGGCAGGAAATAAAAAGTCAACAATTTTTTATTTTCAAATTCCCCTCTCGTAGCGTTAATAATTTCCCACATTTTTGGTTCAAGAATTGAATTGACACAAGCAAAAGAAGTGTGGACTTGTTCCAACATTTTTTCTTTTTCCGTCAAAACCCATTTATTGTCCAAAAACATTGCAAGATTCCCAATATCAATACTTTTGTCTTTGTTGATTCTTACAGAGACTTTTACGGCAGTAGACTGATTATTGAACTTTCCCTTCACGCCAGCAGCCATTTCACTAGCACCAACTAACAAAATTTTTGGAAAAACTTTTATTAACCGAGAAGAGAATTTACCCGGAAATATAGATGCCAGTAAACTTGAATGTGAATTGTGTGGAGTAACACATCTCCATTCAAATTCCAATGGCGTCCAAGGCATGCAATCGGGCTTTTTAAGGTTCGAACCGGGATAGTATTCTCCTGATTTTTTACATTGATCTCTATTTGGACATGTTGAACCCTCTCCATAAAGAGGTCCTTGGTTTTTTCTGATCCTAACGAATTGTTCACAGCCCAAACCATAAGCAAAAGGCAGACTAAAAAACAAAAAGAAATTTATTTTTTCTTTAATGTTTATTAGTAAGGTTGTCGGATAGTTTGAGATTTTCGGATATCCGGATCCGATATTCGAACCGAAATTTTCGGATAACCTTATCAGATTAACTTACATATTCCCTCCTTCTCGATTTGCGATTTGGCAATCTTCACGTTTTATACAATCCTTCAATAACAGCAAAACAGTAAACTCGATGTGATCACTTTCTGTGATTAAATCAACAGAACATCCTTTCCATTCAACCCATTCTTGTTCATACTCCAGAATTCTGAAAATAAAAAAATATTTTTTTAATATCTAATCAAGCACCATACATATATTCTTCATTTAGATCACTAATACATGCAGAATAGGGTTTGTCCATATCGATATGCTTCTCAACTTGACTGTCTAAAACATCATTGATATTATCAGCAATCAAGCTTTTGTCATTCAAAATGACAGTTTTATTCTCCAATTGCACAAAATGATTGCCGTATCCAACTACAATAGAATCTTTGTCATATCCTTGTTTTTCAGAATTAGCTAGAGTTGAAGAAATTGAGAGCCAAAACAGCCAAAACGAACAGAAGAACATACTGATTGCACAATACCTAAATAATTAAAAGATTTGTTGAATTAAGGAGATTAAGTTAATGAGGTGTTGGTTTATCTGCTTTTATAGTAGTGTAATTTGTTGACGGTGAGAGGCAGGAGTAAGCGCGTTATCCCTTCAAATCCTCTGATATCACCGGTATCAACATAACTACTGATAGCCCTTTATCCTCCGTTATCTCCCAACACACCAGAAATCCGTCGATGGTGAGAGTGGTAGAGGTTGAGACAGGAAACTTTGGATTCTGTGGATAGATCATGTCGGTCAACTTCAACTAAACCAATTCAATTACTTGATTATTTTATTGTCTTTAATCTTTTAAAAAAAACTAAACCGTAAAAAACAAGTGTGTCATTCCTTTCCTTTACTTTTAACAATTTTCGACCTCGAATTTCTTTCAACTCACTCCAATAGCTTTACAACAAAGTGGCAACTTTCTAGAAGCAACTACAGCATTCTGTAGTTAAGTTTCTCGAACTTAACCAGGGGGAAGAGCCAACAAAAATATCTACAATCATTATTGAATAGAATTTTTCTGGTTAAATATCTTTATTTTTAAGGTCTCTATTTGAAGCTTGTTTTTTCAGTTCGAGGTTTTACTTAAAATACAAGTTAAACTGTACTTAATTTTGAAATATTTTCCTTCAATTTATTTAATTTCTTACAAATTTGAAGTAAATGTCTGAAAATGTTTATTAATAATTTACAACTTAATTTATTTTAGTTTAATTTTTCCCACGTTTTTCATAAGAATTTACTTAATTAAAAATAAAAATATACTATTTATATACACATATATTTATTATAAATTTTTTTAACGAAACAAAAAATAATAATAAACTTTTTTTTATTTTTTGATAAAAAATATAGGAAAAAATAAAAATAATAAAATTATATACATATTTAAATAAATCCTTATTTTTTTTCAAAATTATTTAAAGTAAATATATTTTTTTGCAGAAAAATATTTTTGAAACTAAAATAGAAAAATACAAAATTCTTCTAAAAATATTTTTTTTCTTTTTGTTAATACAATTTTCCACTCCATTCAATTATTCTGATTAATCGTTGCTTAGCACGCACAAATAATACTTTTTATTTTTTTATTTTTAAAATCTCAACTATTCGTCCAAAAAAGTTTTTCTTGTCACGAATTTTTTATTAAATAAAAACAACCTATTGATAATTTAAAAAATTTATAAAATTTTATTCGTTATGGCACCTCCACCAGATACACCTGTTGGAAGTGTTTGGCGTAGAGCTTCTTTGCTGTAAGTTTATTATTATTCAATTATATTTTAATCCGCGAAGCTATAACTTTCGCTAAGAGTATCAGATTTTGAAATCTTTATTATTGTTTGATTTAGTACGTTGAGATGCTCCTAACTAGGGTTTACATTTACAGTGAGGTGGCTGTTTTCACGGGGACGGGGGTTGAGGTGGTTTTAGCCTCGGGGACGGGGACGGTAGCCTCCCACCGTCCCCGGTGAACCCCTGTCCTCGTGGACGGGGATTGAACCATACTCTAAGCATAATTTCAGAGATTCTATAATCAAAAGAATTTATAGCTTAGCGATGAATTTGTTTAAATGTTCCCCAAAAAACTTAAAATTTTATGTGATAAAACAGGTGAAAAATAAAAATAAGAATGCTAAAAATGATATCATTTGTCTATACAAATATATTAATTTATTGTTTCCTTATTTTTAAAATTAAATACATACTTATATAATTCATATTTGTGTTTTAATTTTAATAAATAAAAATAAAAACTTGGCCTTAATTTGGGCAATTTTAAAAATTTGGGCTTTTTTGACTTTACAAAAATTTTTTTAATTTATAGAGATAAGTTTTTATTTAATTTAAATTTTATTTATTCAATTATACTTAAGATTAATTTTTATTTTTTATTTAATATTAACTCAAAATATTTTATATAAAAAAATCTTTAAAATATTCTTCTCATATTTTTTTAAATTTTACCATCAATTAATATATACTAAGGATTTGTAAAAGATTGTTATTATTACAAAAAATATTCCCACAGTTTTTTTTTGTAAAATATTTATTTTTTAGTACAAACAATTTTTAATTCAAAAAATAAATGACCAAAACCTTTTTAATATTTTTTGAGAAGAAATTTATATCTAAAAATAAGAAAATTTAATCAAAAAAAAATAAGTGTGCCATTCCTCTCTTTTTTTAGAAAGAATATTTTTGAATTGGTTATTTTCCCAAAAAATAATGGAAATAAATAAAAAATAAAGAATATTTTTAAATTTAAAACAGAATATGGCGCTGGTCTAGTTTATGCGTCCAATGAATTTTTACGCGTCCATTGAAAAGTTTGTGAGTCCAGTGAACCCTGATACCCAGAGCGTCCAATGAAAAGTTAGTGACTGACACTGAACCTGATAATAATAGTGAACCTTGATACATACACAGATACTATACTCATAATTTTTCATTGGGCACGTAAACTTTTAATTGGACTCATAAAGTTTCATTGGTCTCATGAAAGGCCATTAGGTGCATAAACTAAACCAGAGTCAGAATATTTTCTTTCATTAAAATATTTAAAATTTGTCTAAATTTAAACATATTTTCTTTCTTTTTTATTAAATATCCATTAATTTCGTCCCCAGGAAGCAACGTGTTTTCCAAGGTAAAATCATCTACTACTACATATATAGTATTTGTATTAATTCCTCACTTCCGTCTAAATAAAAGACAGAAAAAAAGCTAAAAATATTTTTGTTTAGAATAAACACTCATTTTCTACTTATTTTTTCATTATTTTTAATACATAAGCAATTACTTTAAGCAAAGCTATCAAATCCAGGGCACTTTAAAGAAAAAAATATTTTTAAGTGAAAATGGGATTTATTAAAAATTCCTTAATAAAAATATTTTTTTTAAATCTTTCCAAAAATAAATATAAATAGAGGCATTCCATTAATATATTTTTTAAATATATAAATTGAATTTTTTTTAAATTAATTAAACAAAAAATTTAAAAATCTATATTTAAATTAGTTAAATAAATTATTTTAAAAATTACAAAAAAATTCTTTTTCCCTCTCGTATGTGCCAAACAATCAATGCTAACAAAATTATTATCAAGTTTTTATTCCTGTAGTGCAGCAGTAACAGGCACCGAACCCTTGTCTAGAACCGCAGCTGTAGCTACCGCTGGGGCAACTACAGACATGTTCTTTCAAGCAACGTTGGCAAGAACTTTTATTTCGACTTTAAAACTTAGAGGGGACGATGATGTTGTTGACAGACTTAATTATTATTATACTCCAATTATGCTGGCAATTGCTTGTTTGGTGGTTTCTGCTAAACAAGTAATTTTGGGGAAAATTTAAAAATATATTTTTAAATAGTTTGGAGGTTCTCCTATTGAATGTTGGGTTAATCCTCATTCTAGAGAAAGTATGGAAGAATATATTGAAGCTTTTTGTTGGATACAAAATACTTATTGGTATTTTAATAAATAAAAAATTGGATAACTAATTATTTAAAGGGTTCCGATGTATGAACATATACCTGATAGTCATGAAACTAGAGAAGGTGGAAATATAAAAATAAATTTTAAATTTCAAAAAATTTTTTTAGGACAACAAATAGGCTATTATCAATGGGTATCTAAAATTAATAAAATAATTTATTTTTAATTATTTTAGGTACCTTTTATTTTAATTACCCAAGCTTTAGCTTTTTCCTTGCCTTGCATTCTTTGGAGATTATTAAATTGGCAAAATGGTTGTTTTAAGATTAATGAAAGGAAAATTATATTTAAAAAAGGTACAAATATCCACCATCTTATTTCCGCAGCGGAAGGAGCTAGAACTGTTTTGGACCAAAATGAACGCGAAAAGGTTTTTCAAGCATTGGCATTAACATTTACAGAAATAATTGATTTGAGAGAAGTAAGGGAATATTAATTTCATTAAAAATAAAAAATATTGATAAGAAAAAATAAATAAACGATTAATTACTAATTTTATAACCTTTTATCAAATCACTAAAAAAGTGGCATTAATAAATTCCTATATAGAAGGGGGAACATTCCTCCGATTCCCGAAATTGGGAAGTTACCGTATAACCTGTATTAATTACCTTCCTTAATTAGTTGCCCCACTCTATTAATTACCCTCTCTAGCGATAGGATGAAACAATAATTGTCCCCATCAATCCTAAAACACGTTCAAATTTTAAACTTCATATAATTTCCCTGCCTTGATTAATTACTGCATCCACTTAAATTCGAAACAATAATTACCCAGGGTAGATAATAAAAGTTTCAAGGTATTTCTTATGTCTTGGGTAATTAAAAATAATGAAATTAATTTTTTGTATAATTTAGACAGAATATTGTCCTCATCCCGCAGCTTCAATCTTCACTAGATTTAGGCCGACTAGGTAAATTTTAATTTAAAAGAATTTTTAATTAATTACTTTAATTTAAATTATTTAAAGATTACTTAAAGGCCAACTAATTTCTTGTTTATATTTATTTATTAAATGTTTTTATACTGCAAATATTCTTTTACAATTTTCACTTTTAAATGCAGCATTAAAATCAGACGAATATTTATTTTATGGTTTTCAAGTTATTTCTGATTTGTTTGAGGGAAAAGCTTGGACTAAGTAAAAAAGAATAAAATAAAAATTTAAATAATTTTATTAAAATTAATACAGGTCAGGTCACTTTCCGAGGTAAAAAAATAATTTTAAAGATTAATTTAATTAAAATTCTCTTTATTTTTGTCTTAATTCTATAATAACAGTTCACCTTATTTTTAGAGGCATCTTTGAGTTTTAAAAGTTGTGAGGTTATCTTAATGGGTTTGTCTTAAATGGGGGGGGGGGAGATATTGCCTAGGTATCTCCCACCTTCAATATCTACCAAATTTCAGAAAATATACCTTAAATCGAGGTGTATCTAGTTTGGTGTATTGTCTTACAGCGAGGTTAGGCTGTATACATTAATCTTTTAATTATCCAAAAAATTTTTAAAAAATTCAAAAAAATAAAAAAAGGACCAACTTTCAAGAGTAACTCTTTGCGATTTTGAAGTGCGTTATTTGGCAAATTTGAATAGGTAACTTAAATAAAATTAAAAAAATATTTTTTTTTAAAAGATATACAGTTCAATGTGCTCTTTTAATTAATATAATTAATGAAAAAGTTTTTACATTTTTTTGGCTTTGGTATTGCCTTCTTTTGTGTATTACAACGTAAATATTTTTAAGATAAATTTTAGAAAATATAGTCGGATATAGTAAATAACCATTATTATGTAAACCTCTGTTTAATACGTTTTTCAATCTTGATTGGCCACTAGGTGAGGGTAACTGAGGGTAACTGGCCAAGAAGAACTACCCAAGGTGAGGGAACTGCCCTATTTTGAAATACTTCTTTATAAGATAAACATTACTTAGCCTCAAAGAGGTATCTAAAAGATAATCGACTAATTAGAATTAGACGGACTGAGAGTGTTGTACGAGAAACGAGATCTCGAAAAATTCTCGATCTCGATAACCGAGATTTTCGATCGAGATCTTGGTCCGGTCTCTACTTTAAATTATTTTTTAAATAATTTTTTTAAATAAATTAAGTTGTTCAACACTATTTTGGTTAACAAATATTTTATTGCATGCAGCAAAAGTTGATTATATTTTACGTTTTATGCAAATAGCCGAAAATTCTTGTCAATTTAATAATCCAAATATTCAATCATCTCCTTTTCCTCAAAGAGCAAGAATTGCTGAAGAGGAGGGAGATTATTTAATTGAGGGAGGTGGACATTCTTTTGTCCCTTTTCGAGTACCAAATCAACATGGAATTGATAAATTTGTTGATGACTTTTTAAAATCTGATGGGGTTTTTGTTAAATATTTATTGGAATAATTATTTTTTAAAGCTATTTATTCTTCGTATGATTGCTAACCATGCTGGTGAATTGGCTGTTGTTGGAATTGTGAAACATTTGTGGAAGTAAATATTTATTGGATTATATATTTTTGTAAAACTAAATTTATACGGGTCTAAATAATCTAGATATCTAATTTGTTAGATAATTAAAAATAACCTGCTTAATTACTACGGGGTTATCAATCAAACTTATGACTTCTCTTACAAGGATAACCCTATCCCCTTTTCTCCCTCGTAAGGATTTTTAATATTCATTTAAGCAATTTAAATACTGCCAGATGAACCACTGTTTTCAATTGATTGTTTAGAAAAATGGTACATTTTTAAGGATAAGTGGGGATTAAATAAAAGTTTTTCATACAAAAATATAGGTAGTCCATTATTCACTGACCTTATAATTTTTTAAATTTCAAATAAAAAATTAACCCAAAAAATTTTTAATTTTAAGTATATTTTCATCGAGACAATTTAATTATCGTCCATTTATCTTCCAAAATGAAATAAATAATCATTTGGAAGAAGAAAAACAACAAATTATTTTCCCTCACCACCAAACAACAACCTATAGAACAACCTTAAATGTTCCCCCTAACAAGGGAACATATTTTACTGTGAGTACGAATTCGGTATTTTTCTTGGTACCATTCGATAGAGCACAGTCGATTTACTAATGTTGTGTGCGGGTTTTCTTGCAAAATTAGTTTGGGCCGAGTTATGGCCGTTCAAAGTTAGACCGCTAGAGTCTAGAATTATAGGGTAAGTAAACAATTTCTCTCTTATTTTTCATCCTCAAAATACCGACACGCCCATCTTCTCTTTATTTAAAGTGTCTAACATTTTCCTCCTTTTTTTCCTTCGCGCCTCTTGCGTTCTTTCTCATCGTTGAAAGTCAACATAAAGAAAGCAGAGAGAGTGAAAAAGGGAAATAATTCGCTCATTTTCTCTCTTTTTCTTATTTTTCATCCTCAAAGAACAAGCCACGCCTCTTCTCTTTGTTTATTATGTCTGACATTTTCTCTCTTCTTTTTTCCTCGCGACTCTTGCATTCTTTTTTCCTCTTTTAAAATAATGTGAAGAAAGCAGAGAATTGAAAAAAAAGTTATAGCGCGCTTATTTTCCCTCTTTTTTATACTCAACCATTCCCAAGGACTGAAACTTTGAACGGCCATAACTCGGCCCAAACTAATTTTGCAAGAAAACCCGCACACAACATTAGTAAATCGACTGTGCTCTATCGAATGGTACCAAGAAAAATACCGAATTCGTACTCACAGTAAAATATGTTCCCTTGTAAGTACAGTAATACTTTAATTAATAAACAGACAAAAGGAATACTTGGAATAAATTCACTTTTGGGGAGAAGAAGGTATTTAAAATAAATAAATATTTTAAAAATATTTATTTATTTTAGATTAAAAAATAATAATGTAAGGGAAAGAAGATCAACAGAAGCTGATATTTTTGGAAATAAAAATTCGTTATCTTCAGCTTTAATTGAAATTGGGGCAAAAAAGAGTTTTTAACTTAACAGAAAAATTATTTTAAAGATCTCATTACTTTAATTTAAAGATCTCAACAATGCCAGTTAAATAAAAATTAATAAAAAAATATTTTAATTCTAAGAAAATACAATAAATATTTACAATTTCGTTTAAATAAAAAATAACGTAAAATTCCTTCCCAAAAACCCTTTTCAGTAAAATTAAAATTATTAGAATACTTTTTTGAATCGGGAAGGAAATTTACTAAAAATTGGGAAGAAATTTTTGAAAAATCCGTGAAGGAATCTTTCGTACACAAATAAATGATTGAATAGAGATCGAGATTTATAAAAAGTCTGGGCTTGTTCATGGACTCTGGGAGTTTAATTTATTGACATGTGACGGATTCTAGGTCTATTGTCCAGGAAAACACAGGCCCCGGAAAACTCAGGAAGGTCATAAAATGCCTGGGCCTGGACTCTGGGTACAGGAAAAACCCGGGCCTTGGCCCAGACCCAGCTCGATCTCTATGATTGAAAAATATTAAATTAATTAAAATATTTACTTACTTTCATCTTTTTCTTTTTTTATAATATTAAAATTGATTCAACAAACGTCTAAAATTTTCACTTTTAAAAATTAAAAAAAATAAATTTTAAACACCTTTAACGATTTTATTTCATTATTTGAAGAATTATTTGTTGAATTTATTGTTTTATTTTCATTAATTTTAATTATATTTTTGTTATAATAATCTTTTGGAATAAATGAATGTAAAAATAAACAAACACCAATTACCTTTAAAAAAATAATTTTTAAATTTAAATTATTTAAATCACCACAGATAAACTTAAAATAATGGAAATAAAAAGAAAACAATAAGAAGCTGCTGTTCTGTTCCACCATTTTCTGTCCCTTTTAAGTCTAAGTTCTGTTGTGTCAGAGACTTTAAAATTAAAAATATTATTGTAGAATTGAAAAAAATAATTTAAGTTCACTATTAAATACCCCGTTGGGCTGGACGAATCTTAGAATTAAGCTAGGATATAGATTTAGCAACTGATCATTCAAGCTAAGCCTTACCGATCTTAAAGGGATGTTTGTCTATGTAGTATTGGATGTATTTTATAGTAGAGTAGAGGGACAAATTTGGATTCTTGAAGAGGTTCTGAGACAAAGGCCGGGTCGATTTAAGGTCAGAAACTAGGCGAAGGCCTCGACCCCTTATAATGATGTTCGACAGAAGTTTAATTTTAAAATTTTTAAAAATGTTTACTTAAAAATTGTTGTTGATTTTTTAAATTATTTAATTCTGAACGTCCCCCAGACATATTATTATTTGAAGTTGAAGAATCAAGTGAATATAAACGTTTTCCACCATAATTCTCGTTAAACCCACTACTTGAATTACTTATATCAACACCACTTGAACTGACACGTAAACAATTAGTTGAGGGAGATAAATTAATTGAAGGCCAATTATCTACTAAAAATAAATATTTAGTAATTAGAAGTGGGCATAAAGGGTTGTTAATCTGTTTGGGGTTTGGATAGACCTATTTTTGGACTGCATATCTTTGGGCCCAAGTTTCTCGATTTGATTTTCGAGTAAATACAGATTTTATTTAACCGACAGCTTTAATTTAAGGAAATTTATTTAATAAAATTTATTATCTCCGATAAAATCGGTTTTGTCTGACGTTTTCGGTTATGCTTGATTTTAGAAGTTAGCGGTTATCCATGATTTTATTAGTTAGATTTTAGAAGTTATAGGTTGACCGCATGTTTCTAATGCTAGTTTTTAATAAAATATAGTTTATAAATTATTTTAAGTCTTTTTTATAAATTCTAGACGAATAAATATATATTTAATTACAATTTAAATAAAAATATAATTTTTGATCTTAAAAATCACAAAATAAATACTAACTACTAGACAACTGTTACATTCTGCTTAATTTTTTCTAATAAATTAAATTGACAAAAGACAAAAAATATATAAAATTTTATTTAGGAAATAAAAAATTCTTTTTATTTTTCTATAAAATAATTTTAAATATTTTGTGGCTAAAGAAAAACTTTGATTTTTTCTTAATTTTAGGGAAACAAAAATTCTTTTACCTTCATTATTCTCTTTTGTAACAACTTTTCCATTAATATTTCCATTTACCAAAATTTTTGGTTGACCCCCACTACCAATTATTGTTTGCTCATTTAAAGGAAGTGCTCCCTCAGAACATCTTTAATATTTTAATTTATAAATATTTTTTGAAAAAAAACCTTTTTAAATGGGTGGAGGGGATTTTAAATGTACTCAGTTTAGCTACTCCTTGAACAATTCTTTCACAAGATTTGGGTTGTTGGGTGTTATTTTGATTTTGTTGTTGTAAATATCCGCTCATTTTTGATTGAAAAATTTTTCACAATTTATTTTAGAAGGTCAAAAATAAATTTTTAATTATTTAATAAAAAAAAGTTAAAATAAGATGGATCTTAAATATTTAATTTTAATAAATAAAGGCAATTAATTTGATTTAAAAGAATATTACAGACAAATCTCGATAACTTTTATCTCCCTTAGACTTTTATCTCCCTAGATCTCGATAACTTTATCTCTATTCGATCCAAAGGTGGATCAGAAATGCTGAAGGAATTCTTGAAGAGGTTCTGAGACAAAGGCCGGGTCGATTTAAGGTCAGAAACTAGGCGAAGGCCTCGACCCCTTATAATGATGTTCGACAGAAGTTTAATTTTAAAATTTTTAAAAATGTTTACTTAAAAATTGTTGTTGATTTTTTAAATTATTTAATTCTGAACGTCCCCCAGACATATTATTATTTGAAGTTGAAGAATCAAGTGAATATAAACGTTTTCCACCATAATTCTCGTTAAACCCACTACTTGAATTACTTATATCAACACCACTTGAACTGACACGTAAACAATTAGTTGAGGGAGATAAATTAATTGAAGGCCAATTATCTACTAAAAATAAATATTTAGTAATTAGAAGTGGGCATAAAGGGTTGTTAATCTGTTTGGGGTTTGGATAGACCTATTTTTGGACTGCATATCTTTGGGCCCAAGTTTCTCGATTTGATTTTCGAGTAAATACAGATTTTATTTAACCGACAGCTTTAATTTAAGGAAATTTATTTAATAAAATTTATTATCTCCGATAAAATCGGTTTTGTCTGACGTTTTCGGTTATGCTTGATTTTAGAAGTTAGCGGTTATCCATGATTTTATTAGTTAGATTTTAGAAGTTATAGGTTGACCGCATGTTTCTAATGCTAGTTTTTAATAAAATATAGTTTATAAATTATTTTAAGTCTTTTTTATAAATTCTAGACGAATAAATAAGTATATATTTATTTAATTAACAATTTAAATATAAGAATATAATTTTTGATCTTAAAAATCACAAAATAAACTATGAGTCAGCTGTTACACTTTGCTTAATTTTTTCTAATAAATTAAATTGACAAAAGACAAAAAAAATATAAAATTTTATGTAGGAAATAAAATTCTTTTTTATTTATTTTTAATTATTTTTCTATAAAATAATTTTAAATATTTTGAGGCTAAAGAAAAACTTTGACATTTTTTAGCTTAATTTTTGGGCAAATAAAAATTCATTTTACCTTCATTATTCTCTTTTGTAACAACTTTTCCATTAATATTTCCATTCACCAAAATTTTTGGTTGAACCCCACTACCAATTATTGTTTGTTCATTTAAAGGAAGTGCTCCCTCCGAGCATCTTTAATATTTTAATTTAGAAATATTTTTTAAAAAACCTTTTTAAATGGGTGGAGGGGATCTTAAATGTACTTAGTTTAGCTACTCCTTGAACAATTCTTTCACAAGATTTAGGTTGTTGGGTGTTATTTTGATTTTGTTGCTGTAAATATCCACTCATTTTTGATTGAAAAAATTTTTTAATAATTAACAAATTAATTATTTGATAAAAAAATAGTTCAAATAAGAGGGATCTTAAATGATTTAAATAAATAAAGGCAATTAATTCCATTTAAAAGAATATTACAGACAAATCTCGATATTTTTTCTCTCCCTTAGACGTCTGCTCTATTCGATCCAAAGATGGATCAGGAATGCTGAAGGATTCAGAAGTAGCAAATGTCAGAGTTCCAACCCAGTGTCTGATGCAATCTCGGATTGCGTATTGCGGCTGCGGATTTTAAAATTAAAATTGTAGTAGCGGATTGTGGCTGCGGAAAATTTTTTCGATAACTCCTAGTTCCAACCCAGTGTTTGATTCATTTTCCGAAAGTGGATTGAATTTTTTCACCAATCCCGATTGACGACGTCTTATCAATTCGATTAATTAATGAAGGCCCTCAAAAATTTTTTACAATTAATAAAATAGGTAAAATATATAAAAAATACTCTTGTATTTATTATTAATTAAATATGTAGGACGTAGTTAATCAAAAATAAAAAAGAATTCTTTTTAATAAAAAATTTATTAATATTTTATATCAAATAAATTTATTCAAGCATTAATTCTTAAAAAGGACAGAAATAGATCCTTTTTTCTAAGGATGACAAGTAATAAATTTAAATAGAAAAAAGAATGAGCAATAAAAAGGAGGTTAAGCAATTGCCAAAATTAAATTTAAATTGAATTTTTCTGCTTAATAGGGGAAAAGAATGAATATTATTTTTTGTTGGGGTAGTAAAGAAACACTTAAATTGATGAAAAAAAAATATTAAAATGAAAAAAAGTTTTTTCGATGGAGGAATTTATGGAAGTTTAAATAAAATAAAAATTTATTTATGAATATTATATTTATAAATTTTTTTTAAAATATTTTATCTATAGAGCGAGATTTTCAAAAACCCTTGACCTTGATTTCGGTTGGGTACCTTGAACAGATTCTTGACCTCGAGTCAAGGAAAAATCAAGGAACGCTGGAAAATGTCTTGATCTGGACTCTGGATCCAGGAAAAATCAAGGTCTGGATCCAGATCCAGCTCACTTCTAATTTTACCTCAAAAAAGTTTTTTTTCTTTATATCTATGGTGTGTTAAGAAATTATAACTCCACTTAATTTTTTTATGTTTTTCTATGTTCCGGTTGTCCAATTAACCTGAAATTTTTATAGGAGATTTATAGACGCTAGTGGACACTATGCCCAAATAATTTCAGAAAATATTTCACAAGCTCGATTTCTCAAAGATTGGTGTTAAGAAATTTTATCTCCGCCTAAAAATTTTTGATTTTCCTTTAGGAAATAGTTGAAAAATTCTACAAAAATTTCTGTGTTCATTTTTGATAAAATAAATTATTTCAAAAATTATATTGAATTAATTTAAAAAATTTATTATTTTCTAAATTTTTTGAGGAAAATTAAAAAAAATTATTTTAAACAAAACAGAAAGGCATTTTTAAAAACAATATTAAATTAACATCCATATATTTGAGTACATGTACGAAATTCTCGCTTCAATTCCCCCAATTTCTTCTTTTTTCTTTTAATCAACTAAAAAATTCCATAAAGTTTTATTTTATATAATTAATTTTTTTGACTTAATTAAAGTTTTATTTTAATTTTTGAAAAAATATTTACCGGAAATTGTTTAAAAAAATTTTTTTAAATTTTTTTAAAAAAATTTTTTAAAAAAAAGGTAAAAAAATTTTTTTTAAATAGTAAATTTAAAGACAAAATAAAAAAATCAATTACCGTAAATGATATAATACAATCACATCTCTAATAGAAGCACACCCTACGAAGGATCGAAAAATAGAAGCACAGTCTCAAATTGAAGCCAATATCCAATACAAATACACCCTACGAGGGAATCGAAAAATACAAGAACATGTGCTTCTATTAGAGCATTTACGTTAAATAAAAAATAATTTTTTTTTTAATTTTAAATACTAAATTAGAAAGTAAATTTTCTTTTGTAATTTAAATTTAATTTTTTTTATTTTATTTTACAGGAGATTATATCTACATATGTATTATTTTATCTATTACAATAAAAATGTTTGTATATTGCTTACAATTAGCATTCAATTCGATTTGATTTTAGAGATAAGAAGGAAGAAATTAAATAAATAAAATATACTTATAGGCTTTAAAAATACTGTTTATATTTTTGTTCTTTTTCAATTTTATTTTTATTGATAAGAGTTATAGACAAATTAATTTATTTATGTTTTCTCGATATTAATGTTCACTTTTATTATTCTTAATAGGGTTGGGACAAAACCAGGTAACTCAACGGTAATAAAAATGTTCGTATAGAAAATGTTTGTACAACAAACAATAAAAATGTTTGTACAATTAGCATCCAAATATGTATATATATATTGAATGATAATTCGAGGATATCGGTGACCTCAAGACATCAAGATATTTCAGCGATAAATGATATCTATGAATTCATCAATATTAATCACCGATATCCTCGACTTCCCTCATTCTTCCGATAGCCCTTCTAATCCGCTGATATCCCGTTTAAACGGGGTCTTCAAAATTAAACGAAACATACGGGTCTCAGATAAACGGTATTTTTACAAAATTAAACGGTTTTGTCCAACTCTAATTTTTCAATTCAATATATATTAGAAAATAAATATCTAAAATATTTTTTCTGAAAAAATATTTTTGAAAAATTCTCTTAAAGAAGTTCTAAGATTTCCACGATTTCTGGGAAGCCTGTTAATTAAGATAATATTAAATAATAAGTTATAATGGGACCCTTTTCTCTCAAAAATATTTTTTTAAATTTAGATTAAGTTAATGTTTAATTAAAGCCAAAAATGAGTATTTCCTCTAAACTTTTGTTTAACTTAATTTTTTTATTTTATTTTACTTGGATTTATGCCACCTTAAAATACGATGATGAATTTATTTCAAATAAATTAGAAGAGGATAATTTTTGGGATAACTTACTGAATCGTCAAAAGCCAGAAAATAAAGAGTAAATAATTTTTTGTAATTAAGTAACACTGTTACAACCAAGTTTGTAACAAGGGTTTTATTTACAAAATCTTTACCACTAGATTTTTAAACCAAAAATTAATTTATTTTTTAAATTTATTCCAAAAGGAAATTTATATAATATTGGGGTTTTAAAATAAATTGGGAGAAGATGATTAAAAGAAAATAAGCTGAATATAACAATATTGTAAGGGTTTATATAATACTAAAAATAGGGTTGAGGGAAATGTTAAAGAATATCAAAAAATGTGATGATTAATTTTGAAGATGAAAACATTTGTAAAAAATATATAAAAAATATATTTAAAATAATGAATCATAAAAATAATAATATTTTAATGTTTTAAATAAATTTTCCGGGGTCGGTCACGACACTCCGCGCGCAAATAAATTTCCAAAGTTTAAAGATAAGGCGGTTAATTATAAAAGGAAGTAAACAATAGCAAATAAAAATTAGAAGGATTAGACAGACAATTAATATGAGAAAGTAGCGAGGAAAAATTAAATATTTAAGTAAGTGAGTTAAGTCAATAGTGGATATTTCTTCAATCCAGCTCTCATGGTTTTCCTTCCAAGCTGTTCCAACAGAGCCTTCAGGATGATCCAATTCGGCATTTAATTCAAATTTAAAACTTGAAGAACCGCAAAATATTTCGCAGGTTTTCTTTATCATGGCGTGATTTAAGTGTACTGAAATTGTTCTATTTTCGCCCTTTGGGTTACAAATCGTGAATGTATTTAAAGAAGGGCAAATTATATTTCCTAAGGAGTTACCAAAATCTGTAACACATGTTAATTTTAATTTTGCGCCAATTTGGCAGTTATAGCATCCAAAAAGTTGTGCCTGTGTTACCTTACATTTATTTGTCAAAATTTCTGTTTTAAGTGATAGACCTTTAATTTGTGTATGTATTTGAACTGCAGAAAAATCCGGTGCGGCTGTAATTGTGCCTTTTTCAACATTTAATAAAATAGCGTTATGTTCGAAAGGTAGAGTCAATTTGTTGGGAAAAATTTGGTCTAAATCTAATAATTCATTACACAAACAAGCGACATTGTGGTCCGCTGCGTTACAGTCACAAATCATCGGGTCAATTTTGCAAGTATTAAATTCTAGGGCTGAGCGGTATGTTGGGCATTTAAAACTTTCTATTATTTTTTCATTTTCTTTCTCTAATATAGCTATCCTTTTTGAATCAGAAATAAACAATTCATTTAGTAGGGGCAAAGGGGCAACTGTCATACTAGTTGCGGTTAGTCTTAAATCATTCCATTCCGAAGTACGACCAGGACGAAGAGATACTAGATTAGTGATGGTTTCATTTTGTGTTTCAATTATTATTTTTATATCCAATTCTAAGTCCCATTTTGGACATTTAAAAATTTCCAACACTTTTGGTTCATTTGTGGGTATGGCAGAATATTTATAAAATAAACAGGCGGGTATTACGTAAAAACATCCGTTTGCCCATCCACCTTCTGTTTCCATACATCTGGTTTTGGGGTAATTATTTTTATCTGTTTCTAATTCCTCAATTGTCTCATTCATTTTTAAGGAACTACATTTCATTTCTGTGCATGAACCTGTATAGGGGCATCTCCACCCCGAAATAATTTGAATATCATAAGATCGTGAATAGTATTTAACTTCCTTTACGCATTTTGCTTTTATGCGGTTCATTAGAAATTTCATTGACCCAACAGAATTACTTTGATAGTCTTGTAAGAGAATATCGATTTCTTGTTCATTGGGATTAAAATTCATTACCAAAACATTTTCAAAGAGACAATTTCTATACCCCATTTTATTGATTATACACTTTTCTTGTTCTGCTGTTATAGTCGTTAAACTTTTTGTATTTTGCGCTAGCGAGAGAAAAATTAAAACAGCTACTTTCATTGGCAGCCTTTTCTTTCGGTCACTTTTTAATAATTTTTCTTTTTCACTCTTTTCTAATTCACTTCCTTCTCTTTTACGATTTTGTTTTTTGTAGCGCGTGAATATGTATTTAAATATTAAAAATTTTTTCATTAAAATCCAAAATGTAAATTTTAATGTAAATATTGAAATGCGAATGAACATGTAGATTAGGCTTGAGAAGAAATATATTATAAGCGCCATCATGATTATAGCCAATTCTGGGTTGCATTTCGGGTTTAATATTCTTTCTTTGCAAATAAAACAATTGATTAGTTTGCACATTTGTTTTGGCTCGCATTTTATATGTATTTCTTTTATATTTTCCCCATTTTTAAAAAATATTCCTTTAACGTCATATCCATTGATTAATTCTTCTTTTGGGAGCAAAATTTCTTCCTTCATTTCGGGAAAAGAAATATATATACATTTTTCAAGGCATATTTCTATTCCCCCTAAATTTGTATCTGTATCAATCCTTACACCTTCTTCTGTACATTCCAATTTACAATTATGGCATTCTTTGTCTTTTTCATTTTTAAAGTCAAATATCTGTTTTTCGATTGAACCCCATGCTTTTACCGGAAATTTATTAAAATACGCTATTTCATTTTTTATAAAGAAGCAAAATTTTCTTCCCCTTTCAGAACAGTGATTTTTTGCGCAATATAGAGGGGACCCTGTAATTTCTCCTTTTCCTATACATTGAATTTCTTCATTAATTGTTTCTTTTAATTCAATATTTAATTCTTTTACAAAAAATTTTGATCCATCGTAAAGTTCAATTTGGTAGAGAGTTTTTATTATCGGGCTGACTTTACATTTTGGGTCTGGATTAAATGAACATATATTGGGTTTATTTCTCTCTATTATATCCATAATCTGTTTATTATTTTGTGTTGACGTTTTTGTTTCTTTACCGGTGTAGAATGAACAGGAAATCGCCCAGCTTGGACAGAGACATTTATTATTTTGTAGATGTTTGATTTTTTCTGTATTCTCTAACTTAATTTTTTTCCAACAAATCGTTCCGTCCTTTCTCTTGTTTATTGTAAACCCGTCAGCAAGGCATTCATTTAACTCTATAGGCGTTGTCTTTTCACTTAATTTGCACGGACCTGCGTGTATGCTTCCAATCAATGTAAGAAAGAGAATGATCGAAATAGCGCCAATTGTATTTGTTAAGGCTGTTTTTAATGCGCTTGCGCTCGTCCCCATTCCTTTCTCTTTTCTTTCAGTTTTAACTTTTTGTTTATTTTTGGTGTTCTTTGAGCTTGCCTTTTTAGTTTTTGTTTTTTCAGGAGGTTTAACGTAAATGTCTCTTATTACTCTTTTCATATCATTTTTTATTCTTTCATTTTCTATTTTCATTTCATTGAATTTACTTTCAAACCCTTCCTCCGATTTAACTATTTTTTCTTCCAAAGAATTTATTTTATTTTTACATTCATTTAATTCCTCTTCTAATTTTTTATTTTTAATTTCTAATTCTTTTGAGGATTTTTTGATATCAGTAAATTCTTCTTCCCAGTCTTGTAATTCCGCAATATCCTCATTAATATTTTCTAACTCATTTTTAATTTCTTTATTTTCTGCAATTAATTTATTATATTTTGATTCTTTTTGGGAGTTCTTTTGTTGATTTCGCTGCGGTACTTCGCGTTGGTGTGAATTGCTTTGGTAGTATACGCATTCGTAGTCCATATGCGGACCTCCACAATAAGCGCAGGGGCGATAGCGGTTGTCTTCGAAAAACATGTTACATCTCCCGCTTTCAATTTCCTCGTCACTAGAACTATCTTCAACAATTTTTTGTTTTATTTTTCTTTCCCTAAGTTGGTAAGGGTTTTTCTTTTGTTTATCTTCATTTACAGCTTCTTCATTAACAATTTTTATAGTTTTTTCGGGATTATTTTCTTCGTAGATGTTTAATTCCAGTGGATACAGCAGGGCTATCGCGCGATTAATTATTTTATTTTTACATTTTATTTTTGCTGAGCGAATGGAACCATCTTTACTTTTTATAAGATTAACAATTCTTCCCATATTCCAAAATTGTTTGGGGATATTTGTATTTTGAATTAAAACAATTTCCCCTATTTCTGGTGAATAATTCCTTTTAAAATGTTTTTGCGTGTGTCTTTCTGCGCGCTCTTTTAAATCGTTAAGATATTCTTTCTGAAATTTATCCCAAAAATCGTTTACAGTCTTTTGTGCGTTTTTCCAACTGTTTATTATATCGATTTTTTGTGTGCTTTTTAATACGTAGTTGTCTGTTTCTAAATCTTCAAATTTTATTTCATCGGTGATTCTTAATGGTTGTACCAAGTCTAATGGACGTAAAATATCAAAATCTTCATTTTTATTATAAACATAAGTTAAAGGTCGTGAATTCATTACATATTTTATTTCGGGAAGTAAAGTCCTTAATTCTTCAATATTTAACATCCTTTTTCCAATGGCATTTTTTAAAGATTTTTTCATAATTTTAATTATTGCTTCGTAAACTCCCCCAAACCAGGGGCTTACGGCCGGGATAAATCTCCAATCAATCTTTTCTCCTTCTATTTTTCTTTCAATTTCATTAATTACTTTTTGAGTTAAACGATACTGAGTGCCATTATCACTAATTACTTGAGAAGGTTTGCCATATTCTGCTACAAATCGACGGAAAGCTTGTACACACGAGTTAGCGGAAAGGTCTTTTATCAGTTCTAAGTGAGAAAATCTAGTGCTTAAACATGTGAATACTTCAATCCAAACTTTTATTATTTTATTTTCACTTTTTACTTGGAACGGTCCTGCGTAATCTAGTCCGCAATTTTTAAACGGAGACGATTTTTTCAACCTTTCTTCCGGAAGCACAGGCATTTTAGGAATTTCAAAGGGCTTTGAGTTCATTTTTCGGCAATAAAGACATTTATTTATTGTATTGCGCATTTTTTGCCTTCCTTTCACAATCCAAAAGCTGCGTCTCATCTCACACAGGCTTTGACGAAGTCCACTGTGCATTGCTCTTTTATGAGCTTCCATACATATTGTTTCGGCAATAGGCGAATCATAGGAAACAAAAACAGGTGTTGGGATTCCTGCATTTTCTATACGCCCAGGACAAAGCCAAACTCCGTATTTATTTTTTCTCATATATAATTCAAAAATTTCTTTTTCAGTGGGTTTATTTTGTAATTGTGATTCAATTATTATAAAAATTTCTCCTAATTTTCTTAAATTTGATTTTGATTCTGATGATTTTATTGCATTTAAAAATGAAGTTTTTAATTCGATTTTTCTAGTAAAAATTTTTAAAGCTGTGCAAATATTTTTTCCAATTCCTATTAATTTACTCCATTCATTCCTAGTATTTAAATCAATAATTTTTTCTTTTCTAATGGTCATTATAAATTCTGCTTTAATTTCTTTTACTTCAATAATTTTGTCTAATTCTGGGGCTTTAGGCCACGCCTTTTCCTCTTCTCTTAAAAACGCGGGGCCTTGCCACCAACATTTGTTTACTTTTAAATCTTCACAGTTCGTTCCTCGCGTCGCAATCAGACGTGGGCGAAACGTTTCGTTTCGTTTCGTTGTTTCGTATGTTTCGTATGATTTTTACTGTTTCGTCTCGTTTCGTTACGAAACACTTTTAAATTTGTTTCGTTTCGTTTCGTTACGAAACACCTGTGATTTTTCAACGAAACGAAACAATTTTTTAAGCCTAAACTAAGGCCAAAATCTATAAAATTTACCATCTTTTATTGAAAATTTAAAAAATTTTCGCCTGCGGCGCTGAAAAAAAAAGAATTTCGGCTTCTTGGCTTTCCCAAATTGTCAAAATTTTCGCCTGCGGCGCTGAAAAAGGAAGATAGCAATTACTTATATACTACAAATCCGTTTATACTCCACTCCCTAATCCACATATACATATTACTTAATCGACGACAAATTCTATTACCGGACTCGCATCATAATTTAAAAATTGCTGATTGCGAGTTGCGGAAATACTGGAACCGGAACTTCCGGCGAAGCACTAGCTTATATCGCCTTCCTCTCGAAATGGAGATATGGAGACAATTTGGGTAGGCAATGGAGCAAGATGGTGAATTTTTTGGCCTACGGCCTTTCAAAATTTTAAAATTTTTCGTCTGCGGCGCTTAAAATAAAATTTTACTTGAAAAATATTCAATTTTATTTAAAAAAAAGCGTCGCCAAAAATTTGGCTTCGAAAATGATTGACCCCCCCCCCCCTTCCCCGAAAATTTTCCTTGCTACGGGCCTGGCTTATGGGACACAATTGTTGTAAATAAACCAATAACTAAATCATTTATAAGTCATAGTCGACTAATAACGTATTTGAGGTCGAATAATTTCGAAATACCGTATAACCTGTATTAATTGCCCTCCCTCAAATAATTACCCCACTTCTATTAATTACCCCATCCAGTGATAGATTAAAACAATAATTACCCTCTCAGAAATGCCCTAAAACACGTTCAAATTTAAAACCTCGTATAATTACCCTCCCTCGATTAATTACTCCCTCCAGCGGAAGGTCGAAACAATAATTACCCAGGGTAGTTATTAAAGGATATACGGTAAATGCAGTTTTGAAAATTTTTTGAATATTAAAATGTTTCGTTTTGTTTCGTTTCGTTTCGTAAGATTTTGGTTGTTTCGTTTCGTTTCGTTAACGAAACGATTTTTAAAAAATTTTGTTTCGTTTCGTTTCGTCAGAAAAAAATTTTGAGTTTCGCCCAGGTCTGGTCGCAATGTCAGCAATATTTAATTCGGTCGGGACATATTTCCATTTAATTTCAGGTGACTTTCTAATTTCTTCTATTCTTCTTTTAATAAAAATTGGTTGTTTTTCTTGATTGCTTATTAAAATCCAATTTAAAACTACTTTACTGTCCGACCATATAAATGTTTCATTTATTTTCAAATCTATTTCTTTTAGTATATATTCGCTTAATCTTTTTCCTGCAATTGCTCCCATCAGCTCCAATTTTGGGATTGTAAGTCTTGATTTTAGAGGGGCCAATCTCCCTTTAGCCATTATAATTGATGTGAAAATTTTATTTTTGGATTTTGAACGTAAGTAAGCTACGGCTCCAAAAGCATCCTTGGAGGCATCCACAAAAATATGGAGTTGTAGCGGAGTTGCTTCTTTTAAAACTAATCTTCTAATTTTAAACAATCCATGATCCTCTTTTAATTTTTCCCATTCTTCGCTTTGAATATTTGTTATTGGGTCATCCCATGTTTTTTCTTTATCCAACCATAATTTTTGCAAAAAAAGTTTTCTTGGGAGATTTACTGGTAATAACATTCCTAGTGGGTCAAAAGTTTTAGCTACTTCTTTTAATATTGTGCGTTTCGACCATTTTTCTTTATTTTTTATTTCTTTTATTTCGACTAAAATTACATCTTTATCTAGGTCCCAACCAAGTCCAAGTATTTTTGTTAGATTTAAATTTTTATCTCCAAAATTTTTATTTATTTCTTCACAATTTGAACCAAATTCTTGTAAAGGCATTTTTGCTTCATTAAAAATTTCTATGACTGAATTACATTTTTCTACAGCCTCTTCTTTTGTTTTTGCAGAAAAGAATAGATTGTCCGCGTATATTCCCCGTTTTAGATTTTTTCCTATTTCTCCTGCTGTTTTTTCTAAATGCAAATTTATTACAGCTGATAGGCAAAAGGGTGCGGCGGAGATTCCAAAAGGCATTTTTGTCCATCGCCAATATGTGAGATTTTGATTATTAGGTGGACTGTTCCAATCTTTGGGTAATAAAAAACGCATAAAATTTCTTTGGTTTTCTTTTAGGCCGATTTGATGAAATGCTGATTTAACATCGGCTGTTATCAAAATTGGAAAAGTTCTGATTCGTATTAATACTCCACATAATTCGGGTAATAAAACCGGACCTCTATAAATTAAATCGTTTAGACTAACTTTCTCTTCTTTTGTTTTACAATTTGCTGCAAAGACAATTCGCATTTTCATCTTTTGGGGATGGTATACATAGTGCCAAGGTAGATAGTGCGAATTGATTTCATTTTTTAAACATTCTTCTATTTGCTCATTTTTCTTTTGCTCTAGAAAGCTTTCCTTTAATTTTTCTATTAAATTTTCTTTCTTTCCTTTTGACCAAACACTTTGTAATCTTTTAATACATGGTGCGAAATTTTCCGAAATTTTTGGGTTTTCATTTTTAAAAGGGAATTCAATTTCATATCTACCCTCGGAATTTCTAGTAACTGATTTTTGAAAAAGTTCCAGTGCATTTTTGTCGTCTTCATTCATTGGGTTATCAGTTATTCCATATGATTCCAACTCCCACCATTTATCGGCACCAAGTGTAAGAATACGAGAACAATTTTTTCCTTTACTAATTTTACCTTTTCCACTCAAAATTTCTCCAATTTTAGTGTTTACTTTTGAAAATCCATTTTTTAATAATTCAAAACCCATTATATTATTATATGCGCTTCCTCCTATTAAAACTTCAGGAATTATTTTTTCTAAATATTTAGCTGGTATTTTTTCTTTATTAAGAATATTTTGGTCAATTTTTTCAAGGGAAATAGTTTTTAATTCATCTATGAAATTTTCTTCAACTCCTCTTGCTTTAACTTTAATTATTTCTTCATTTTTACCAATTATATTAAAATTAAAAATAGGCATTTCTTTTGTTACACTTTGACCAAAAACTCCAATAGCTCTAAATTCATTTTTACCTATAGGTTCTAATCCCAATTTTTCGGCTAAAGAATTCTTTATAAGACAAATTTCACTACCAGAATCCAAAAATATAAAGGAATTTTCAGTTATTTCCGGGTTTTTTGGGTTAGCAATTTTTGCATTTTTTATTGGCAAAATTGTTTCAAAAGATTTATTTTTTAAATTTTTATGTAAACAATTAATTAACACATCCGATGAAGTATTGTCAACATTTTCAGAACATTCTTTTATTTGTAAAATATTTTTTCCTTTCTTTAAATTAAATTCATTCTTTTTATTTCTCTCATCATTAGAAATCGTCCTTTCTTTTATTATTCCCTTCGTCTGCCTGCAAAAAGCGGAATTATGATTTTCTTTACAATAAAAACAAACAAATTTTTAATTCTTTAGCCCTTTCAAATCTTTTTTCGACATCGGGATATCTGTCACATTTATTCTCCCAATGTTTCCCCCCACAAAATATACAAAGATTAAAATTTCTTTTTTCGGTTATTGCGTACATTGCTGTAGATTTTTGGGCCATATTACGATTATTATTGTTCCATTGGTTTTGGAAATTATACCGAAAATTTTTATTTTTTATATTTCCATATTTTAGATTTCTTTGCCATTCTGGCTTTATAAAAGGTTGTATTTCATTTTTTTCTTTTTCAAAATCCTTGTGTGCCCGAAAAACATCCTCCTCTAATTTTAGGAGGTTATCCAGAAATTCTAACATCTTTTTTAATGTCCACCCAATTGAATTTCTTTTCTTTTTGTAAATTTCAGTTAGAACCCATTTGGGCATTTTACTTTCTACTTCCAAAAATAATTGTTCATTATTGATATTTTCTCCGAGATTAGTCAATTGGTTAACAATTGCTTCAATTTTTCTTAAAGTATGTCTAATTTCTGGAACATACTTTGAGGCTCGAGGCATGCGCCTTAATGAGGCGTGTAATGCACTTTTTATGTTAGATTTGTCTCCAAAATGTTTTTCTAAAAGATCGAGCACAATTTTATAATTTTGACCCTCTAAGGGGTATTGTCTTGCCATTTCCTTTGGCTCTCCAATTAAAGATCCGAAAAGATACTGTAATTTTCTTTTTTCAGAAATAGACTGCTCATCTACGGCACATTTAAATTCTTCAATAAATGGCCTATATTCTTCTAATTTTCCCGAAAATGTTGGTAATCTAATTTCTGGCAGTCTTATGGCATTTGGCGTTTGGCCATTGCCTTCATTTCCAGTTAAACGAGTTAATCTTTCTCTCGTACTAAAGCCTTCAATTCGCTCTAAGGCGTCAAAATTTTCGTCTAAAATATCCAAAATATCTCGCGCTTCGTCCAAAATAATTAAAAATCCATTTTCTCCTAGCGCGAATGTTCGGTAAATTTCGTTTTCTCTTTCTTTTTCCTCCGTATCGAGGTATTTTATTAAATTAGCATAGTCAACATCTTTTTTGTTTAATTCATCTATAACCCCCAAAATTTTTCTTTTTGAATTTTCAATAAAATCTCTCAATTCATTACATCTTACCCTTTTATTTTCTTGATTTAAATCATTACCTACCGTAAAATCTTGACGACGAACCACTTCCAGATGTCGCACGAGGCGATCTCGAATAACGCCTATCCCGGTTTGCAGGACGCCCGCCATGACCAATTTGAATGAATCGACGAGTTCTAGGCCTTACAAAATTATTAGGTCGTCGCTGTTGTTGTGCCCAGCGGTTTTGAGCAATACCAATTCTAGGTCGGTAAATCGGTTGTTGTTGTACTCCGTATGGATTAAACGGAGGAAATGCTGGGTATTGAAAAGTTGGGTGTGGAAAAGCTGGTGGAAATCGAGTATTAAAATTAGGAAATTGAAAATAATTATTTGGAACAAACGGCTGATAACCACGAGGTATTTGATTATCGGCGTTTGAATTGACGACTTTTACGATTACAGGCGCAGATTCTTTATGGGGCTTTTGACGACTTTGAGACGTTCCTTGATTTCTATAGTTTTTAGTAAAGAAATTGCGCTGTTGAGCGCTTTGTTGTCGGAATTTATTATCAATTTTTCTTTCCAGATTTAAATTTTCGTTTGGTGGTCTGGACGAACAAATTGTAACCTTGTCCAATTTTTCTTGAATATTTTCCAGTTTTGCTAAAAAAATTTAGCCCAAAATTTACTTTTTAACTAAAATTATTTTTTATCCCAAAAAAAATTTTTATTTTTATAGCCCTGATTTTTTATTCGTCGTGGCACCAATTTGTTACAACCAAGTTTGTAACAAGGGTTTTATTTACAAAATCTTTACCACTAGATTTTTAAACCAAAAATTAATTTATTTTTTAAATTTATTCCAAAAGGAAATTTATATAATATTGGGGTTTTAAAATAAATTGGGAGAAGATGATTAAAAGAAAATAAGCTGAATATAACAATATTGTAAGGGTTTATATAATACTAAAAATAGGGTTGAGGGAAATGTTAAAGAATATCAAAAAATGTGATGATTAATTTTGAAGATGAAAACATTTGTAAAAAATATATAAAAAATATATTTAAAATAATGAATCATAAAAATAATAATATTTTAATGTTTTAAATAAATTTTCCGGGGTCGGTCACGACAAACACAGTCAAATCTCGATTGTAAATACAAGCTCAAACCGAATAAAATTTAATTGTGAATAGGGGGGGTATCTCTTAGGCAGCCCTTCCCATGGGGCACGGCCAAATTTGCTTCAAGATTCCCGAATCTTACCAAATTTATTATTAAACGAGTTGGTGCCAAGAGATTGGCGCCAAAATTGATAAGAGCCAGAGATTTTCAGCAAGTTATGGCTTTGCGGGCTGGACCTCTCCTTTTGGGCTGTACCCCGTCCATAGGTTAACAGAATTTAAGCAAAATTTTACGATTAAGGCGTGTTTGTTATTGAGTATATTTACAAGGGAAATCAGATCCAAAAAAACGATACTTTAATTAAAATATTTATTTAGTTCCAAAAAATATTATAACCACGTTGAACAACTACAAAGCTCGGATGACCCATGGCCCAAAAGTTTTTTCAATAAAAGTATAACAATTTGTGCTGATGTAAAATCACCGAATATAGTCTACAAAATAGATGGAGGGGATATTACAAAATGTAAGAAGGGTCAAAAAGCAGTTGCTGTTGGAAATTATAGAAATGGGCAAAATGAAACTGGGTAGATTTTAATTTGGATTTTGTTTTTAAATTAAATTAAATAGTTGGGGAATTTTGGAAATTGAGACGTTTGCTGATTTTTCTGAAGAAATTCAGTCATATGCTGCTGGACTTGCAGAAGGTAATGTTTTGCTACTTAATAAACTAGCATTCAAAAATATATGTATTATTATTCATTCATATTCTTTCTCGTAAAAGGCCGAATCGGTCCCTATTAGTCAATAAACTTTTAAAGAAAAATATCTTATTAAGTAAAAAGTAATTATGAATTAATTTTCTTTGGCATTTTTATGATTTTTTTTTCAATTTACTAGAGTTGTACCCCGACCCCGAATCTCGTTCCCGAAACATTTGGAAAACCCCGTACCCCGACATACCCGCCCCCGAGCGTTCGGGGTACAGCCCTACTATTTATCACTTAAGATTACTGTATTTTCTCGAGTAAGGAATTATTCGAGAGAGGGGGATTATTCGAGTTTTGGAATTATTGTTCAACCCAACTTTGGCATGGGGAATTAATCGAGAGTAGAGTCTCCATAAATCAACACCTTATTAAATATTTTATTGATAAGATTTTTATGAAGATAGAGACAGACATCTATTGTACTTATTTCTTCTAGAAACCCTTTAAAATTAAAAAAAAATTATTAAATTATTAAAGGTCTTCTAACTAAAAATCAAATTTATCTTCATTATTTGAATACTGCTAGCCAAATATGTAATAATGCAAGTGCAGGATATTGTGATCAATTACATAATTATATTAAAACTAATCTTAAATGGATAAGATCGAAAGTTTAAATTTTAATTTGTTTAAATTTTAATTTTAAAATACCTAGGTTAATTCATTAGCTAAAAATGATATTTATTGGCGTCATGTTGAGTTGGTTAGAAAATTAATATAAATATTTCTTTAATTAAATATTTTTTAGACTTTTACACAATTAACTGGAATTAATGATGGTTGGAAATATATTTAATTTAAAATTAAATATTATTAAGACAATATTTTCACTAGAATACCCCCCCCCTCCTCTCTACCCATAAATACATATAAAATTTTTGGAATTTTAGAGTTGGGAAATCTGGATTAGCGGAATTATTGGTTCTTTAGGGTCCTTTAGATTCCTTCTATTTAGAACCCCTTCTAAATAGTTAATTAAATTGAATAATTACAATCGAGTCTTGTTTTGGAAAATAATAATTATTAATTTTTAGTGTTAATTTATTTTAAATAAAGGTTATGAAGATATTAATCTTTATGGTGATTATTATCCACGTGTTGAATTTAAAAATAATTCAATCCTTTTAATTCAAATGTCCGGTGATTTTTATGATTTGGAACATGTCTTTAAGAAGAATCCAAATTTGGAAAGTGAACCAAGTCATTGTTCTGGATTTATTAAAATAACAGAAGGAAATGAAGATTTGTATGTAAATAAATAATTTTAAAAAATTATCATATGCCAGAGCTGGGAAATGTTAAGTTTAAGTACAAAAAATATGATTTTTAAGTACATACTGGAAAAATATGTATAGTTTAGAAAAATACAATTATAAAAATTGTACAATTCACAATTCACGAAAATTGGGAATTTAGGATTTTGCCGGCGCGATCCCTGATAAATAAAATTTAAGAAATTTATTTTTGTCCACAACTCTTATGTATATCTCTTTCCAAAACGGAAATTTCAAAGAGCCCATTAAAATTTTTGTGTGAATTGTTATTTATACTGAACAAAAACTAAATCTGGCACCTTCCCATTATGTGTTTACAAACTTTATTTAAATAATCTTAGATTAAAAAACATAAAATTAGTAAATATTAAGAGACTAATTTCAAAATAATTAATTTATAATAGATTAATGTCTCATGTATCAATGGCCGGGTATAATACAATGAATAGAATATTAAAACTTTACAAATTCGCTTTTGGTTCCTTTAAATTATTTTAATTTAACTTTAATTTAAAGATACTAAAAAATCCCCTGGTAATATTGTTACCTTTTCTGGTTATCCAGCTGCTTTATCTTCTGCCGATGATTATACTTTAACTAGTTCTGGATTGGTTAGAATAAATTATTTTATTTTTTAAATTTAAAAATAAAAAAGCTTTCAATTGAAACAACAATTGCTGTTCTTAATGAACCTTTATATGAGAAAGTTAAAGAAAACAAACATTTACATTGTTGGTTACGTTCATATCTTGCTAATCGTTTATCTAAAACTGCTCGGGATTGGGTACAATTGTTTGGACGGTAAATGAAAGAAAAATAAATTTTAAATATTTTTTAACAAAAAAAAATGTGTGGAAGTAAATACATTTGTGGAAGTAAATATTTCTTTACAGAAATAATTTTTTAATGGTCTAGCTAATCTAGATATCTAATTTGTTAGATAATATTTTGTTAAATTAACATGACCCTTATTAGTTACTACGGGTTTATCAATCAAATACAAGGGTAATCCTTGTCCCTTTTTCCCTCCAAAGGATTTTTAATATTCACTTAAGGCGATTTAAATGCCGCAAGATTATCTTTTTTCTGAACAATTTCAAGAATTGTTTAGAAAAACGGTATTTTTAAGGATAAGTGGAAATTAAATATAAGATTTTATACAAAAATATGGGTAATTTATTACCAATCGGCCCAATAATTTTTTTGTAAAATAAAAAGTAGCTCAAAAATTTTTAATTTTAAGTATATTTTCATCGAGACAATTTAATTATCGTCCATTTATCTTCCAAAATGAAATAAATAATCATTTGGAAGAAGAAAAACAACAAATTATTTTCCCTCACCACCAAACAACAACATATAGAACAACATTAAATGTTCCCCCTAAGTACAGCAATACTTTAATTAACAAACAATCAAAAGGAATTCTTGGAATAAATTCACTTTTGGGTAGAAGAAGGTTGAAAAATAATAATGTAAGGGAAAGAAGATCAACAGAAGCTGATATTTTTGGAAATAAAAATTCTTTATCTTCAGCTTTAATTGAAATTGGGGCAAAAAAGAGCTTTTAAATTAACAGAAAAATTACTATAAATTTAAAGATCTCAACATTGCCAGTTTAAATAATAAAAAATATTTTAATTCTAAAGAAAAATACAATAAATATTTACAGTTTCGTTTAATAAAAAAATAACGTAAAATTCCTTCCCGGAAACTCTTTTCAGTAAAATTAAAATGACTAGAATACTTTTTCAATCGAAAAGGAAATTTACTAAAAATTGGGAAGAAATTTTTCGTGAACACAATAAATGATTGAATAGAGATCGAGATCTTTATAAAGCCTGGGCCTGTTCCTGGACTCCGGGGTTTGATTTATTGACCTGGGCCGGATCCTGGGTCTGTTGTCTAGGAAAAACCCAGGAAGGTCAAAAAATGCTTGGGCCTGGACTCTGGGTACAGGAAAAACCACAGCCTTGATCCAGATCCAGCTCGATCTTTATGATTGAAAAATATTAAATTAAAATATTTATTTACTTTCATCTTTTTCTTTTTTATAATATTAAAAATGGTTCAACAAAAGTCTAAATTTTTTTTAGAAATTAAAAAATAAATTTGAAAACCTTTAACGATTTTATTTCATTATTTGAAGAATTATTTGTTGAATTTATTGTTTTATTTTCATTAATTTTAATAATATTTTTGTTATAATAATCTTTTGGAATAAATGAATGTAAAAATAAACAAACACCAATTACCTTTAAAAAGATAATTTTTAAATTTAAATAATTTAAAATTACCACAGATAAACTTAAAATAATTGAAATAAAAAGAAAACAATAAGAAGCTGCTGTTCTGTTCCACCATTTTCTATCCCTTTTAAGTCTAAGTTCTGTTGTGTCAGAGACTTTAAAATTAAAAATATTATTTTAGAATTGAAAAAATAAATTAAGTTCAATATTAAAATTCACCGTTGGGGCTGGAAAAATCTTATAGTGGAGTTAAGATACAGATTTAACAACTGGCCAATCAAAGCTAAGCCTTACCGAGGTCAATATCTTAAAGTTATGTCTGCCTAGTATTTGGTGTATTTTAAAGTAGAGTAGAGGCAAATTTGGACCCTTGACCGAGGTTCTGAGGCTAAGGCCGGGTCGATCTGTGGTCAAAATTAGAAAATGGTTGAAGGCCTCGAGTAGAGGGGCAAATTTTGACCTGACCGAAGTTCTAAGACCAAAGCTGGGTCGATCTGAGGTCATGACTAGAAAATGGACGAAGGCCTCGACCTTGACCTCTTATATTAAGGTTTGATAGAATTTTAATTTTAGAATTTATACAAAAATTTTTACTTAAAAATTGTTGTTGATTTTTTAAATTATTTAATTCTGAACGTCCACCGGACATATTATTATTTGAGGTTGAAGAATCAAGTGAATATAAACGTTTTCCACCACAATTTTCGTTAAATCCACTACTAGAATTACTTATATCAACACCACTTGAACTAACACGTAGACAATTAGTTGAGGGAGATAAATTAATTGATGGCCAATTATCTACTAAAAATTAATATTTAGTAATTACAAGTGGACATAAAGGGGTGTTAATTAGTTTGGGGTTTTTTGGATAGGCTTATTTTTTGGACCCAAGTTTCTTTATTTGATTTTTGATTTAATTTACGATTTTTAGTTAGCCGACAGCTTTAATTTAAGGAAATTTATTTAATAAATTTATTTTCATTGATAAAATCGGGGGTTTTGTCTGTCGATTTACGGTTATGCTTGATTTTAGTTAGAGTTGGAACCCAGACCGGATCCGGTCAGGAATTTCGGGATCCGGTAGTCCGGAATCAGGGTATTTTGATGAAACTCGGATTTCCCAAATTTTTCAAATTTCAATCCGGAAACTCCGGCACGAATAGAAAAAAATTTAGCAATCCGGAAATAGGATCCGGTATTCTCAAAACTTTCAACTCTAATTTTAGTAGTTAGGTCTGCTGTTTATGTTAAATGCTAAATTTTAATAAAATACTTTTTATAAATTATTTTTAGTCTTTTTTATAAATTTTAGACGAATAAATATATATTTAATTACAATTTAAATAAAAATATAATTTTTGATCTTAAAAATCACAAAATAAATACTAACTACTAGACAACTGTTACATTCTGCTTAATTTTTTCTAATAAATTAAATTGACAAAAGACAAAAAATATATAAAATTTTATTTAGGAAATAAAAAATTCTTTTTATTTTTCTATAAAATAATTTTAAATATTTTGTGGCTAAAGAAAAACTTTGATTTTTTCTTAATTTTAGGGAAACAAAAATTCTTTTACCTTCATTATTCTCTTTTGTAACAACTTTTCCATTAATATTTCCATTTACCAAAATTTTTGGTTGACCCCCACTACCAATTATTGTTTGCTCATTTAAAGGAAGTGCTCCCTCAGAACATCTTTAATATTTTAATTTATAAATATTTTTTGAAAAAAAACCTTTTTAAATGGGTGGAGGGGATTTTAAATGTACTCAGTTTAGCTACTCCTTGAACAATTCTTTCACAAGATTTGGGTTGTTGGGTGTTATTTTGATTTTGTTGTTGTAAATATCCGCTCATTTTTGATTGAAAAATTTTTCACAATTTATTTTAGAAGGTCAAAAATAAATTTTTAATTATTTAATAAAAAAAAGTTAAAATAAGATGGATCTTAAATATTTAATTTTAATAAATAAAGGCAATTAATTTGATTTAAAAGAATATTACAGACAAATCTCGATAACTTTTATCTCCCTTAGACTTTTATCTCCCTAGATCTCGATAACTTTATCTCTATTCGATCCAAAGGTGGATCAGAAATGCTGAAGGAATCAGAAGTAGTGAACGTCAGAGCTCCGACCAGGGCTGGACACAATTGCGGATTTTTTGACTTGCGGACTGCAGCTGTGGAAATTTTTTCCAATTGCGTCCAGCCCTGGTTCCAGCCCAGTGTTTGATTCAATTCCAATAGTGGATTGAATTTTTCCACTAATTCAATCCCGATTGCGGATATCTTATAAATTTGATTAATTAATGGGGGCCCTCAAAAAAAATTTTTTTAACAATAAAATAGGTAAAATATATAAAAAATATTCATGTACAGTCATCGACATAAAGATAGGGGCAAGAGTAACTAAAATGAAAATTAACCATTTTTTCAGTTAAAAATTCATTTTAGGAAAATTTTTTTTATTTGATTAAATACTCCATTTAATTCTCTATTTAATGAGTATAAATCTTGCCGGATTAATATTTTATACTACCGAACCCAAACTGAAATAAAAAAGCAGTGCTAATTTTCGCGCGACAAAAAGATAGGGGCAAGTCTCATAACTAAATATTCGCCCGGACAAAAAATCTTTAAAAATTTATACAATCATTTTGACCGATTATAAGTGTAAATAAAAAAGAACTAGGCCCGTATCTCGTTTCGGTGTCGAGATCTCGTGCCCTGAAAATCAACGTAAAACAGGGTTAAATCAGAAACAGCATTTAATAGGGAATTTATGGGCAACTAACAAACTATCTGCAACTAACAAACCTCTGCAACTAACAAACTATCTGTTTCTGAAAAATGAAATTCAGCACGTTCATAGTAAATTTCAAGTGCTTTCAAATGTGCATAAAATAAAAATTTAAAACAATCCATAAGGGGTCGAAAATATTTTTTTAAGTTGCTTACCTCTGTTTTACGTTGATTTTTGTGGTATCGAGATCTCGACATTGAAATGAGTTATGGGCCTAGTTCTTTAAAATTTTATCTTATCATCGATAAATAGTTTCAGTCGATTTTTTGTAGATTTTTTGACCAGGCGAATACTTAGTTATGAGACTTGCCCCTATCTTTTTGACGCGCGAAAATTAGCAGTACTTTTCTATTTCAAGTTGGGCTCAGCATTATGAAATATTAATCCATCAAAATTTATACTCATTAAATAGAGAATTAAACGGAGTATTTAATCAAATAAATTATTTTATCATAATATCAATTTTTAATTGAGAAAATGGTTAAGTTTTACTTCAGTCACTCTTGCCCCTATCTTTATGTCGATGACTGTATTTATTATTAATTAAATATGTATGTAGGACGTAGTTAATCAAAAATAAAAAAAAGAATTCTTTTTAATAAAAAATTTATTAATATTTTATATCAAATAAATTTATTCAAGCATTAATTCTTAAAAAGGGCAGAAATAGATCCTTTTTTCTAAGGATGACAAGTAATAAATTTAAATAGAAAAAAGAATGAGCAATAAATAAAAAGGAGGTTAAGCTATTGCTAAAATTAAATTTAAATTGAATTTTTCCGCTTAATAGGGAAAAATAATATTATATTATATTTTTTGTTGGGGTAGTAAAGAAACACTTAAATTGATGAGAAAAAAAATATTAAAATGAAAAAAAAGTTTTTTATGGAGGAATTTGTGGAAGTTTAAATAAAATAAAAATAAATTTATAAATATTATAATATTTATAAATTTATTTAAAAACATTTTATCTACAGAACGTGATTTTCAAAAATCCCTGACCTTTAGTTCAATTGGGTGCCTTGACCAGATTCTTGACCTTGAGTCAAGGAAAAATCAAGGAACGCCTGGAAAATGAATTAGAGCTCGCTCTCTAATTTTATCTTCAAAAAAAGCTTTATTTTTATTTATAATTATGGTGTGTTAAGAAATTATAACTCTACCTAATTTTCTCATGCTCTTTAGGGTTCTGGTTGTCCAATTAATCCTAAATTTTTATAGGAGATTTATGGACGCTTTGGAAGCTATGTTCAAAAAATTTTAGAGAGTATTTCACTAGCTCGATTTTTATCGAGTTTTTCTCAAAGATTGGTGTTAAGAAATTACATATATCTTCACCTTAAAAATTTTTGATTTTCCTTTGGAAAATGGTTGAAAAGTTCTACAAAAATTTCTGTGTTCATAATTTTAATATTTTAATAATTATTTAAAAAAATATTTTGAATTAATTTAGAAAATTTATTATTTTCTAAATTTTTTGAGTAAAATTTTAGAAATTTATTTAAAAAACAGAAAGGCATTTTTAAAAATAATATTAAATTAACATCCATATATTTGAGTACATGTACGAAATTCTCGCTTCAATTCCCCCAATTTCTTCTTTTTTTTCTTTTAATCAACTAAAAAATTCCATAAAGTTTTATTCTATATAATTAATTTTTTTGACTCAATTAAAGTTTTATTTTAATTTTTGAAAAAATATTTACCGGAAATTGGTTAAGAAAATTTTTTTTAATAAATAAATTTATTGAAAAAATAAAAAAAATCAATTACCGTAAATGCTATAATAAAAACAATCTCTAATAGAAGCACACCCTACGAAAGGATCGAAACATAAAAGCAGTCTCAAATTGAAGTCAGTATCCAATAGAAGCCAGATTTTAGAGATAAGAAGGAAGACATCCTACAAGGGGATCGAAAAATACAAGAACATGTGCTTCTATTAGAGCATTTACGTTAAATAAAAAAATTTATTTTAAATAAAAACAAATTCTTTTGTAATTTAAATTTAATTTTTTTATTTTATTTTTACAGGAGATTATATCTATTATTTTATCTATTACAATAAAAATGTTTGTAGTATATTGCTTACAATTAGCATTCAATTCGATTTGATTTTAGAGATAAGAAGGAAGAAATTAAATAAATAAAATATACTTATAGGCTTTAAAAATACTGTTTATATTTTTGTTCTTTTTTAATTTTATTTTTATTGATAAGAGTTATAGACAAATTAATTTATTTATGTTTTCTTGATATAAATCTAAAATATTTTTTCTGAAAAAATATTTTTGAAAAATTCTCTTAAAGAAGTTCTAAGATTTCCACGATTTCTGGGAAGCCTGTTAATTAAGATAATATTAAATAATAAGTTATAATAGGACCCTTTTCTCTCAAAAATATTTTTTTAATTTAGATTAAGCTAATGTTTAATTAAAGCCAAAAATGAGTATTTCTTCTAAACTGCTGTTTAACTTAATTTTTTTATTTTATTTCACTTGGATTTATGCAACCTTAAAATACGATGATGAATTTCTTTCAAATAAATTAGAAGAGGATAATTTTTGGGATAACTTGCTGAATAATAAACCAGAAAATAAAGAGTAAATAATTTTTGTAATTAAGTAATACAGTCAAATCTCGATTGTAAATCAGACCGAATAAAATTTAATTATAAATACTTAGGGGTATTCCTTAGACCTCCACATTGGACCCCATAACAGCGCAACCCCATAACTTGCTTCAAAATTTCCGAATCTCGCCAAATTTAGTATTAAAATATTCCTCTCATTGAGCTAAAGAGATTGGCACAAAATTGATATGATCCTGATATTTCCAGCAAATTAGGGCTTTGCGCCGTTATGACCTCGCGAGCCCTTTTGGGTTGTACCCTTCCTCATCCATATGTAGGCCAACCAAAATTTTGAGATCTTTTTTCGATTAAGGCGTGTTTGTTATTGCGTGTATTTACAGTTGTGATCAGACCCAAAAAAGTAATACTTCAATTAAAATATTTATTTATAGTTTCAATAAATATTATAACCCTGCTGAACAACTACAAAGCTTGGATGACCCATGGCCCAAAGGGTTTTTCAATAAAAATATAACAATTTGTGCTGATGTAAAATCCCCAAATATAGTCTACAAAATAGATGGAGGGGATATTACAAAATGTAAGAAAGGTCAAAAAGCAGTTGCTGTTGGAAATTATAGAAATGGGCAAAACGAGACTGGGTAGATTTTAATTGGGATTTTGTTTTTAAATTAAATTAAATAGTTGGGGAATTTTGGAAATTGAAACATTTGCCGATTTTTCTGAAGAAATTCAGTCATATGCTGCTGGACTTGCAGAAGGTAAAATTTTGCTAGTTAATAAACTAGCATTCAAAAATATTATTATTCATTCATATTCTTTCTAGAAGAAAGCTAAACGGTCCCTATTATTCAATAAACTTATAAAGAAAAATATTTTATTAAGTAAAAAATGTATTTGTAATTATAAATTAATTTTCTTTGACATTTTTACTGAAGTTTTTTTCAATTTATCACTCGAAATTGCCGTATTTTCTCGATTAATTCCTCTGGGGCGAGGGCGGGGAATTATTGTTTCAATCCAACTCTGGCATGGGGAATTAATCGAGAGTGGGGTCTCCATAAAACAAACAACACCTTATTAATTAAATATTTTATTCCTAAAATTTTTATAAACATAAAGACAATTATTGTAATTATTTCTTACTAAAAATCTCTCAACATTTAAAAAAATTTATTAAATTATTAAAGGTCTTTTAACAAAAAACCAAATTTATCTTCATTATTTAAATACTGCTAGCCAAATATGTAATAATGCAACTGCAGGATATTGTGATCAATTACATAATTATATTAAAACTAATCTTAAATGGATAAGATCGAAAGTTTAAATTTTAATTTATTTAAATTTAAATTTTAAAATACCTAGGTTAATTCATTAGCTAAAAATGATATTTATTGGCGTCATGTTGAGTTGGTTAGAAAATTAGTATTAAATAAATAATTTTAATTAAATATTTTTTAGACATTTACACAATTAACTGGAATTAATGATGGTTGGAAATATATTTAATTTTAAATTAAAATATTATTAAGACAATATTTTCTCTAAAATATCCCCCCTCACTAGGGCTTCGCCGGAAGTTCCGGTTCCGTTAAACCGGAAGTTTCGGGATTTTTGGTTCCGGTTTGGTTGTATAGTTCCGGTTCCGGACAAATTTGCGGTTCCGGCGAAGCTCTACCACCTCACCCTTAAAATAAATATAAAAATTTTTGATCGTTAGAGTTGGGAAATTTGAATTATCGGAATTTTGATTTACAGTCCAACCCCTTCTGAAATACTAAGCCACTTTTAAAAAATAAATTTATTTAATGTTAATTTATTTTAAATAAAGGTTATGAAGATATTAATCTTTATGGTGATTATTATCCACGTGTTGAATTTAAAAATAATTCAATTCTTTTAATTCAAATGTCTGGTGATTTTTTTGATTTGGAACACGTTTTTAAAAAGAATCCAAATTTGGAAAGTGAACCAAGTCATTGTTCTGGATTTATTAAAATAACTGAAGGAAATGAAGATTTGTATGTTAATAAATAATTTTAAAAAGTTATCAGATGCCAGGGCTGTGATTAATAAAATGTTAAGTCTAGGTACAAAAACTCTAATCTACTATAAGTACATACTGGAAAAATTTGTAGGATTTAGAAAAATACAATTATAAAAAATTTAATTGGGAATTTGGTTTTCCCAAATTCCCAACAAAAATTGGGAATTTGGTTTTCTGTCAGCTCGATTCCTGATACCAAAATACAATTTAAGAGATTTATTTTTGCCCATAACTCTTATATATCTTTTCCGAGACGGAAATTTCAAAAAGTCTATTAAGGTTTTTGTGTGAATTGTTAAAACCTCTATACTGAACAAAAACTAAAAATGACACCTTCCAATTATGTGTTTACAAACTTTATTTAAATAATCTTAGATTAAAAAAACTTAAATTAATAAATATTTAGAGGACTAATTTTAAGAAATTAATTTATATAGATTAATGTCTCATGTATCAATGGCTGGATATAATACAATGAATAGAATATTAAAACTTTACAAATTTGCTTTTGGTTCCTTTACTCATCTTTTAAATTAACTTTAATTTAAAGATACTAAAAAATCCCCTGGTAATATTGTTACCTTTTCTGGTTATCCAGCTGCTTTATCTTCTGCCGATGATTATACTTTAACTAGTGCTGGATTGGTTAGTAGCTTCATTTTATTTTTTAAATTTAAAAATAAAAAAAGCTTTCAATTGAAACAACAATTGCTGTTTTTAATGAACCTTTATATGAGAAAGTAAAAGAAAACAAACATTTACATTGTTGGTTACGTTCATATCTTGCTAATCGCTTATCTAAAACTGCTCGGGATTGGGTACAATTGTTTGGACGGTAAATGAGAGAAAAATAATTTTAAATACTTTTTTTATTAAATTTTAATATTTATTTCAAAATACAGTTAAACCTCATTTTGGAAACCCCAAAATTATAGATTGTACCCTTTAATTTCTAAGGTGTACCCTACCCTTTAATCTCTAACCAATCCACCGCTCCTAGTTAAAGTTATTATCAAATTACCCCTCCGATCCCTGAAACCCTCGCCCAATACGATCTTTTGACAAACCCCCAGACTTTAACACCGTAGGCTGTATCCCGGCAACCGCTATCTCCAACACCCCCAACACTAAAGGGTCGCGTGCTATTCTAGTTACTATTATAATAAATAATATCCACTGATCATAGGATAATTTCCAGCTTTAAGGGTTTATCTAAAAATGAGGTTTTACTTTATTTATTTTAGCTATAATTCTGGCACGTATAACAATCAATGGACTGTAAGTCTATATTTAATTAAAAAAATATTTTTTTAAATTAAAGGTTCTTGACTATAAATTATTTAAACCAAAACAAGAATTGCCCCAAACAGATTTAATTTGGATTTTAGAACAAATTCCGTTAGTTCTTTCCACCAAAATTAACTCATTTAATTTATTTTTGTTTTTAAAGAGGCCTTGTAGTTAGTAGAGACGTTACTTGGTTTATTAAAAGTTATGGTTATTGGCCTTCTTATAATATTCCTTTTTTATCTAAAATATCTGAATTGAGTGGATTTAGTGCTAAAGGGCAGATAAATAATTGGTGGAGATGGGGATTTACACCTAGAGCTAAAATATTTCATAGAGATCATAAGAAAGTTAAAGATTTGAAAACATTGAGAGAATTAATGCGGTAAGAATAACTTTTTAAATTTATTTTATTAAAATTTAGAATTAATTAAAATTTTAAATATTAATGTAGAACCTCGATTTTTGACTGAAAATTAGTATCATATAATGAGATTTTTATTAAATAGGGGGGGCATTGTTTAGATACAGAGCTGTTTCGGAAATTTTATCTTTGAGTGTTTTTGGATGGGTACCGTAAACAGCTCTGCTTAGATAGCTCATTGCTGATCCAGCCAACCAGATTCTAAAAAAATCCTGCCTTAAATTGAGATTCCACGTAAATCGAGATCTACTTTAATTTACCATTTTAGTTATAACAACTACCAACATGATGAATATTCCCGTTGCAAATGTACACCACCATATTCAGCTGAAGTAATTAAATACTTTTTTAACTATTTTTTATTATTTTTCAATTTAAAGGCAAGTATTTCAACAAGAGGAGATCTCAATAGACCTGATGGAAAATGGGAAGTGCCAGGAATGGGTTTTAGAAATCACGGTTCTATTGACTATAAAGGAACTAATTTTGAATTATTTAAACAATTACGTTTTGAGGTTTTTTGTAGGGAAATAAAATTAATTTAAAAATTAATTTTTAGGTAGTTGGAGGGCCGACATATGGAGGACCTGGGAATTTACCTTATTTTAGGTGTTTTTAATATTAAAAATTTTTAAAAATATTTTTTTTCTACAAAAAGTTGGGATACTACAAAAATAAATACAACACATTTTGGGCAACCAATAAATTGGAATTTTACTGAATTTGCTACTCAATGGACGACAAAAATTCCTAAAAATATTATTTAATTAATTGGAGGGTATTTAAAGAATAAAAAAAGAAATAGTTAAAAATAAATAAATATTTTTTATTTAATTAATTAACAAATAAATAAATATTTAAATCATTCAAAAAATAAATTATGTTTTTGATTATAAGTAAAGCCAGTAAAATCATTTTCCAAATCAACAAAAGTTTGTGAGGGAATTAATGAAGCTAGAAAAATAAAACAATATGAATCTTTCAATATTAATTTGGATTTTTAATCATTTTTAAGAAAATAGTTTTAAAATAATTAAACTAGTGATCGGATCGAGACGAGATTCCGAACAAAAATTTCTATCGTCTAAATCGAGATTTTTCTAGATATTTCGTATTATTCTCGTAAAAGCCAACCCATTTCGGTTTTTAAATTAAACTATTAACGGTAACCATACCAGTTTATTTTATCATTTTTTACAGGTCTTTGTTTCACCTATGTAGCTATATTTCTTTCTTATAACTAGGGTTGCCGGCCCGGTCCGGTCCGAAGGATCGAGTCGGGCATCGAATTTTGCCCGAGAAAAAACTCGGTCGGGCCGGCACGAAAAAAAAATGAGACCCGAAAAGAATGACTCGAACTTCGGCCCGACTCGAAAACGGCAACCCTACTTATGACCTTACTGACTGATAAATTATTTAAAAAATAACTAAGTACATAATAAAATAATAATAATTTTCTTAAAAATAATTAATAAACCCAAATTAAATTGATATTAAAATTAATTTTTAGAAAATTCTTTCTCACCTGGATTTGGTTCAATATCAGTAAATGTTCTTGAAATATTTACTGTATCTGTTTCACTCCGTATTTTAGGTATAAACGGGGCCCTAATTTCTCTCTTATTTAATTTTTCCCAGTCAATTAAAGCAAAAAATGGATGAAAACAAATTTCCTTTAAAAAAATTATTTTTAAATTAAAAATTTAATTTAATTAAACATCAAAATTTCTAGCTCCAAGTCGTTCAAAACGATTTTTTCGGAGAATTCTTTGTAGAAAATTTCTAGCAGATAAAGAAATATTTGAGGGTATAATTAATTGTTGATTAATTATTTTTTGATACATTTCTTGTTGGTTTTTGCTGTAAAATGGAGGTAAACCAAACAACATTTCGAATAATACACAACCCAAACACCACCAATCTACTGTACGATCATAAGGCTTTTTCTCAATGACTTCTGGTGCTATAAGAATTTTGGAAAATGAAAGAGTAGAAATTTTTATTCTATAAAGCTAAACCTCGCTAACCCCTTGGGGCTGAAATTGTACCTTATAATGAGGAATACATTAAATAATATGGTCCACACCCATCCTTCTCCCACATAATGGCCAACCAAATTAAAAAAAATATTTATCAACTTTTGGGGGTATTTGCTTTTCTCTATGCGACAAATTTCTCAATTCAGCCCTGTGGAGTAGCTTAATAGCGACTACGATTGTATTCAAGAACGAGATTCGACATTTTATTTTACCTAAATATTCAGGTGTTCCACAAAAAGTATTTGTTGTGTCTTTCGATTTAATTCCTTCTTTGCACAAACCAAAATCAGTCAAAACAACATGTCCATAACGGTCTAATAATATATTTTCTGGTTTTAAATCTCTATAAATAATATTTTGTTCATGTAAATATCCAATAGCACTAGCCATTTCTGCCGAATAAAATCTTGCTTTAGACTCACAAAATGAACGTTCTTTTTGTAAATGAAAAAATAACTTTAATTTAAAGAGATATTTTATTAAAAATATTTTTTAAATATTTACCTCTCCTCCATTTAAAAAATCCAAAACAAAATACAATTTATTTTTTGTTTGAAAACTATAATGAAGAGAAACCAAAAATGGGTGATTTATATTTTTTAAAAGAACATTCTTCTCTGCCATTACATGTTTAACTTCATCACGACGTTTTATTTGTTCCTGATTAAAAAATTTTATTTCTTTTTTATTTGATTAGTCAAGCCTCATTTTTAGATAACCCCATATCAGGGAAGTGCCGAGACTGATTTTAAAAAGCGAAAGGCAAAGGTTGATTTAAAAAGGCGAAACTGGCACATTCCTGCTCAATACAAACCCAGGGGTGTGCCGAAAGTGATTTTAAAAAGCGCAGGACGAAAGGCGAAAATATGAAAGTCAAAACTCGCACACCCCTGATACACACCTCAATTTAAAATGTTTTTTAAATTTATTGATCAAAGAGTGAGGGAAATGCCTAAGAAACATCTTTAATTTAAGGTATCCCCAGGATGAAGTAACGGTTTTTAGCCTCAAATGGGTTTAAGGTTTGATTGTATTAATTTTAATTAAGCCCTACTTTAACTAAGACTTTCATTGCATATATTTTTCCATCTAAATTATGTCTAACCATATAAACACGCCCAAAACTTCCTTGCCCAATTGTTTTTAAATAATCAAAATGACTTGGTTTTATACTTTAAAAATTAATTTAAAAAATATTTTTTAATTTTTAAAAACCTTCTCTTTTCAGAATTTCCCAAATAAATATAATTTTCATCAAATAAATTAATTAATTGGCCAAAAAATAATTGAATATCTGAACTAAAAATAATTCATTTTTTATTCAAATAAATTTATTTATTTACTTTTTAAAATATTTATTAATCAAATAATTAATTATAGCTTCAACCCAATTTTTTCTTTTTTCAATTATTTTTTGTTCTGAAACAAGAAATTTTCTTTTTGGTGGAGTTTTGTCTAAATTTGAAGGTAAAATTGATTTGAAACGTTCAAAAAATTGTTGTAATTCTGTAAAACTTTTTTGAATAGAAATTGATGTATTTAATAGATTTTTTAATTCAAAAACCTTAAAAAATACATAAATTTAATTTAGATTAAATGGTATGTAATAGTTTGGAAGTCGCCCCCCCCCTTTTCCCTGCCCATTTTGAGGTTTTTTGTTTGATATATAAATTATTATATATCATTCGAAAGAGCTCTTCAAGCTTGATCGAATGATACCACGATTTGCTAGATCTAATGATTCTTACCAAAAATTATTATTGTGATAGGAAAAAGAACAGCTGTCACTAAACACTTTTTCCTCACCCACGATTTCTTTAATTCATTCTTATATTTTTTAATCCAAAAACTCCCAAAAGAATAAATATTTGTTAAAAAGAAAAGTAGAGGTTTAATCTAGGAAAAAAGACGCTCGAACGCGTCTCCGGTTCCCGCTTGCGGGAACCGGAGACCCAACGTTCGAGTCCACATTAAACTTTACTATTATATGGAGGTCCTAGAACACCGTATCGCTAATGGATTCAACACACTAATATTTATATCAAATTATTAAATTTTCATTTCAACTTATCTAATTTCAACATTTTTAATATAATTATTATTTTACAACAATTCTTCAATGGCCTACTTTAAATAAATATATTTTGGCTTGATTTAATTTTAAATCTATTGAATGCTCTTTTCTGGTTCAAAATTTTATTGCCTTTATTTCAAACAGATGTATATTACTCCCACTCAAAAAATATTTACTTGTTTGTTGGTTGGTTGTTGAAGAGATTAGTGGATCAAGTCAACAAATTTATTGATAATTTTAAAATTTAATGAAAATGGATATTCGTTACAATTGGTTGGCAATTTTACAAGACAACAGATCAGTGATGTCAAAGTTCCAAAATTTCTCTGGAACTAATTCCAGTTCCAGAACTAGAACCAGATATTCTTGATGGAATCCCAGCAAAAGGGAGAAAGGCTTCGGGCAGTGTTCTTTTTAAAAAAAAGTTCAGGCCAGTGGTTAAATAATTTAATTAAATATATTTTTCAAAAAATATATACAAAAATCGGAATTAATTTAAAACAAAATACAAAAATTCAAAAATTACAAAAACTAGAAGAAAACAAAAACCAGAAAATTACAAAAATCAGAATTATCAGAAACCAGAACAAAAATCAGAAGTATTTAAACATTAATAAATCAGGATTACATAACACAAAATACAAACATTAAATTATATAAAAGAAGTCCAAAGAACAACCAATAAATCTAAAAAGGGAAATCACACCAAAACCTAAAATTGGTTAATCATATGGGCCCAAAAATAAATATGGAAAGAAAAATAAAATTAATGAGTTGCAACAAAAATAAAAGATTAATTAACGTGACTCTTACACCTTTTAACTACGGCCGAAGTTATCTGGTGTCAGACCACGGGTTTATTAAAACTATAAATAGTTTTAATTAAAAGAAGTGATTTAATTAGAATTTATTCTGGATGTGACTATTGGATTAATTTTATAAAGTTGATTTTGGATCTTAAATTGTTTATATAATTAATTATTCTAACACCAACATATTTAACAACAGTTAAATGATATTTTAAACTACAGCTTATATTGAAACACATTATTTGAACAACAGTTACAACATAAAAATTTTATTTTAGAATTAACAACATATAATAAAATAAAAATTATTTAATTAAATCTATTTAAATACAGGCTTCGAATTATTAATTGAATTAATTATAATTATTGAATAAAGTGGAAATATCTAATTGGAATACTCCATTCAAATTATTTTAAATTATTTTTGGAAAATTAAATATAAAATGGAGGAGGAAGTTGGAACTGATGATGAATTGCACACTGCCGATGAAGAAGAGAAAACTCCGTTAAGAAAAGGCCAACTAAATGAACGGGAATTACAACAAAAGCTCGCGGCACTTGAAAAGGAAATTGCCAAACTTGGAATAAATAGAATGCGTGAGGGATTACCTCTTCCAGAATTTTATTCGGGAATAGAGGATTTTGAGGCATACCTTCGAAGATTCAATAAAATTGCCACCGCGCATCAGTGGAGTGGGACGCGTTGCACCCAAATTTTACCTTTATATTTGTTGGAGGAAGCTCGCGCGATATATGATTCTTTGGGCGCAGACTCTAAAAATACTTGGAAAGGGCTGACAGACGCCTTAGCAATAAAATTGAAGAAATTAAATACAAAGGAATCAGCGCGTAGGATGTTGACGAACATAAAACAAAAATCTAATGAATCTATAATTGAATTTGCGCAGGTTATTCGCGGTCTAATAAACAAGGCTTTTCCAGAAAATTCCTTTAAAAAAGTTGTTCTTGAGACAGAAGAGGCGCGAACTCAGAGAATTAAAGATTGGAGAGATGATCTGGCTAAAGACTATTTCAAAAATGGAATTAAATTGGAAATTAAGGAAAAATTGGCATTTATTACAACGGATACATTAGAAGACACTATTAACCAAGCCAAACAGATTGAGGAGGTGCAAAATTCTTTGAAAGAAGATAGAATGAGGTCATATCAAAATAAGTTATCTGAAAAGGCCATACTTGAAGTTAACGCAGTGAAAGCACAGGTAAATGAACTATGGGAGCAAGTTGATCATCGCATGCCAACACAACCTTTGCGGGGAAATTATAACAATTTGAGAGGAAATTTTAATACATGGGGCAATTGGAACCAAAGAAATAATTATAATCGAGAGCAATATTCTAATAATAGAAATAATTTTCAATATTATAACAATTGGAGAGGAGCAAATGTTAATCGAGGTCGGGGTACTGTAAGATGGGGACAACGTCGTGGAGCTGGATCTTTTAACTCCAACAAAATTCCTATAAATAATCCAAGAGATTTTGGAGCTGGAACGTCGAATTCAGCACGAATTAATTCCCTTGCAATGCCTTATATTACTATAATGATGCTTTTAATGTTTTGCCAAGGAATTTGTGGACAATACCAAATTTGTCCAAAGGATAAATCTGGTGAGTCAATTGACTTTCCATCTCCTCAGGACTGTACTTTATCATTGACTCATCAGATGGAAATTAAAAATGTCACTTTATTTTTGCCTAAACTTGTCCCAAGGTATTTTCCGATTTACCGATGTTGGATGGAGAAGCATGTTAAATGTACGAATGCTATTTTGTTATATCGGGAAGAATTACCAGTTAAAAAAGAAAGGTTTTCATTAAGTCCTGAAAGTTGTTGGAATCTATATAAAAATACAAAATTAAAAAGAATTAATGAAGTGTTATGGTCAATAAAATTTTATAATGACTTAAAATATGCGTGGTTTGGACAGCAATGTGTTATGGATAGACATTATTTTCTGGAAGAAGGAGAGGGTGCATTAATGAACAAAAGATTCGAGACCAGTTTTGGAGTCTCGAAATCTGTTGAGGCTCATACTATAAATGGTTCTTTTACAGATAAAGAAAAATTATTTTCGGTTATTGTTTGGAACGCTCCATCTGAAGATTATATTTATACAAATTATTCATTTGGCCCAGTACAAGCAGAAATATTTTACAAAAATAATTCTATAAATGGATTAGTTAAAATTAACGAATTACAATATGTTTTCGCGCCGTCCGAAAATATTTCAAGAAATTCTGAGGTATTAGGTGTTCCTGAGGAGGCTTGGCCAATGGACAATGACGTTTTTATATTAATTTTAAACACAACTGAAAGAATCATTCAAAAGAGGCAAGTTACGAAAAAACAAAATTTTAGACGTACTACTACTACGACTACTACAACAACCTCAATTCCACCAACTGCTAAACCAATAAAAACAACAACTCGTCCATTATTAACAACAAAAAAGCCAATATTAAGTACAACAACAACACCTATTCATAATAAAGGAATGTATACAACACCTACTATTTATCCAAATTATCACCTCCCAGTACAACAACAAATTAAAAATAATTATTTAAAAGGAGATCGAGGTATACCGGGCCCAGATGGAAGACCTGGAGCACCCGGAGAAAAAGGAGACATGGGATTTACTGGACCTAGAGGAATAAAAGGAGCCCCTGGAGAAAAAGGAGATATGGGATATACGGGACCGAGAGGATCAAAAGGAGCAGCGGGCCAGGACGCTGCTCCAGGGCTTAAAGGCGAGAAAGGCGATATTGGAATACATGGAAGGCCAGGAAAAGAAGGATTGCCCGGACTGAATGGGAAAGATGGACTGGATGGCTTACAAGGACCTCAGGGTCCGATTGGACCTAAAGGAGACAAAGGAAGCCCTGGTATTAATGGAAAGAATGGATCACCTGGACCAAAAGGAGAACCTGGATATTGGGATGAAAATTTAAAAATTTTACCGACTTTTGCCCCTTTAAATAAAAGAGAATTGTTTGATCCCGAGGAAGCACAAAAAGAACGAGATAATAAAATTAAGGATAATCACGAAAAAAGTCGTTTAAATTATTTATCATGGGAAGAAGCACAAGCGCGAGAACAAATAATGAGAGAACAGTGGAAAATTACATGTCAAAATAGGAATCAACAATTGGAAATTGCTAAAATTATAGCTGAAACTAATCCAACCAAAGCAGCAAGATACCTTTATGGAAGAACAGATTTAATAGCATTTTTGGAGAATGGAATAAAATTAAAATGGAATTTAGGATTATGTACACCGGTCAATGTTGAAGAAATAATATGGGACCAGAAAGTTGAAGATAAATGTTATGAATTACTTCCTGTAAA